GAAACCACTGAGCTAAATCCCTGGCCCAAGGTTGCTTTTTTAAAAACAAAAATGTTGGCAATTTTGCTGGGCATGGTAGTGCATACCTATAATCTAGCACTCAGGAGCCTGAGGCAGGAGGATTGCCATGAGTTCAAGGCCAGCCTGGACTACATAGTGAGACCCTGTCTCAAAAAACAAAAAGCAAAAAACAAAAAAGTTGGCAATTTATTCAGTTTTTTAAAAAGCGCACTCTGTGAGCAAAACATGTCTGCTAGCTGGCTTCGGTTCATGATGTGTCAGTTTGCAAATTCTGGCCTTGGAGTTTAGCATCAGGTATAATAAACCAACAAATACTTAGTGCCTACCACATTCCCAGCACTATTTGTAGCACTCAATGTGTATTATCTCATTTAATTTTTCCAACAACCACATAAGGCAGATAGGTACTTTTTTTTTCTTTTTTTTTTTTTTTTGGTACCAGGGATCAAACTTGGGACCTTGTGCTTTCGAGGCAGCCGGTACCACTGAGCTAAATCCCCAGCCCAGGTAGGTACTACTTTTTTTTTTTTGGTGCTGAGGATCAAACTCGGGAGGGACCTTCTGCTTGCGAGGCAGGCAGCGGCACCATTGAGCTAAATCCCCAGCCCCTAGGTACTATTTTTAATCCCCATTTTCCAGATAGGAAATTGAGGCACAAGGAGAACTAAATCACTTGCTCAAGATTACACACCTGGGGCTGGGGAGATAGCTCAGTGGTAGATTATGGTTCAATCTAGACCACACACCTGCAAAAAGGACAGTTTACCAAGCCTGGTGATGCACACCTGTAATTCCAGCTACTCAGGAGGCTGAGGCAGGAAGAGCCATCCTGGGCAATGGCAAGAGCCCATCTCAAAACCCCCTGGAGTTTGTAGACCTGAGAATAAACCTAGGTGGCCCACAGTCTATGTCTTTATGTTAATAAAAGGTAACATAATAAAAGGTGAAACTGTCAGAAATATGTCAGCTAGTCTGCGTGTGTGTGTGTTTTATTGAAGATTGAACCCACGGGCTTTGCACTGAACTACATCCCCAGGTCTTTTTATTTTGAGACAGGGTCTCACTAAGCTGCCTAGACTGGGCTCAGGCTTGCCAGCCTCCTGCCTCAGCCTCCTACAGTGCTGAGATTAAGGGCATGTGCTACCATGCCCTGCTTGTGTGTGTGTGTTTGTTTTGGCTTTCTGAGACAGGGCTTCACTACGTAGTCCAGGCTGGCTTCAAACTAGGTCCTCCTGCCTCAGGCTCTGAGGGAGAAGTGTAGGTATGTTCCACCATGCCCAGTAGCCCTCTTGATAGCTAGATGGGGAAACCAAGACCCAGGAGAGGACAGAGTCTTTTAAGACCGAGAGCTTTCATTTTGCCAGGCACATGGTTCTAGAGATATGAGTGGTATGTCCTAATAGGCAACAAAACAAAACAACACACCCTCTACTGTGAAGGAGGACACCACACTCAATCTGTTCCCTCTTGTGCCCACAGGTGGCCATGGTGGAGGTACAGCTAGAGAACAACCATGAATACCCACCAGGCCTGCTGGTAGCCTTTAGTGCCTGTACCACCGTGCTAGTGGCTGTACACCTGTTCGCACTCATGGTCTCCACATGTCTACTGCCCCACATCGAAGCTGTGAGCAACATCCACAACCTCAACTCTGTCCACCAGTCTCCACACCAACGGCTCCACCGCTATGTGGAACTGGCCTGGGGCTTCTCCACTGCCTTGGGCACATTTCTCTTCCTGGCTGAAGTTGTCCTGGTGGGCTGGGTCAAATTTGTCCCCATTGGGGCCCCCTTAGACACACCAGCCCCCTTGATACCTCCGTCCCAGGTGCCTGGGACTCTGCCCCCAGTGGCTGCCTCCCTTGGTCCAGCTTCCAGCCTCCCGCCATCCTCTGCTCCTGTGGCCCCATCACAGGCTGAGCCTTCTGAGGCCTGCCCACCCCGGCAAGCGTGTGGTAGTGATGGGATCCATGGGCCAGGCTGGCCAGCAGCAGTGGCCTCCACAGCAATCATGGTACCTGTAGGACTCGTGTTTGTGGCCTTTGCTCTGCATTTCTACCGATCCTTGGTCAACCACAAGACAGACCGCCACAAGCAGGAGCTAGAAGAGCTGAGTCGCCTGCAGGGGGAGCTGCAGGCTGTGTGAGCAGCTGTTAGCTTCTGCTGTCAGCATTGCCTCCCTGGGGTCTGCAAGAGGCCCCAGGGGCCTGCAGGCCTCATTTCCTACTCCTGGCTGGAGCCACTTCCTGTGGCCACTCTCAGGTAGAGACCAGATTCCTGCCCACAGCGTCCCACGTTCCCTGTCAGTCCGTTCCATGGGTTTTGCAAGCTCTACACCTAGGCTGGGAGACTGTGGAACTTCTTCAATCTGAGGATGCTGGGGCAGATACAAGGGAGGCAGGGGGGCCTTTGTGGGATCTCTGGTGCTGAGCCTCAGCTGCTTGTCCCTCTGTGGAATGTGGAGGCCAGGTTACATGCCCACACAGTTGCCCCCCGAATGCTGTCACCCTTGTTATATTTGAGTGAAGTCTATTTAATGGTTTGAATTTTGGGGCAAGGTTTTCCCCATCCCCAAATTTTGATGGGTTCCATATTATTGCTTTGGTTGCTGTGGGCATTTGAGTGTTCCCACAACAGGCACAGGTCCAGCCTTTCCTAGAAGCCTTCCTGTTTCTGGAGATTCAAGCCAACTCCCCACTGATGATGACCTGTGGCCACATATGGAAGGGACAGTGCCTGCAGCACTGTCCTAGGGTCACTCACCTTTCTATCACAGTGGGCCCACGCTGGGGGCGGGGGTAGTCTTTGAAGACTGAGTACCTGTGTGCATGGCCTGGATCCTTAGAACGGGTTTAGGGAGGATATTTTAAGAGAGAAGGGCCAGTTCCCAGCCCTTAGACTGAAGAGCTCTTTTGACACTGAATTTTTGATGCACCTTGTTTAATAAATTGTATTTCACAGATGTCCCTGTGGCTGTGAATGGGGTGGAGGGGAGGGCTTCTTGGGTAAGGTCACTGATTTTCTATGGTGCTGGGGATTGAAACTAGGACCTTTGCATTGTGCCACAGCCCCAGCCTTTTTTTTTTTTTCCCCAGCCCTTTTAAATTTTTGAGACAGATATCATCCAGTACTAAGTTGCCCGGGCTGGGCTTGAAGTTGAGATCTTCCTGCCTCCGCCTGCCAGTGTAGTAGGATTGCAGGGTTTATCACATCTGGAAAGTTTTATTCTTGTGTGTGGGTGTGTGGTACTGGGGATCGAAATCAGGTCCTTGCGCTTGCGCGGCAGGCGGCGAAACCACTGAGCTAAATCCCCGGCCCTGGACAGTTTTATTCTTAAGAGTCAGGTGGAGGCAAGTGTACCTGATGGGGAGTGGGTTCCAAGTATGACCCCATTAGGTGCTGACAAGGGGGCAATAGCTTCTGAATAGGGAGACAAGTTATTTCAAGGCTATAGGCCTTTGAATTTTTTGAGACAGCATCTCACTAAATTACCAAGGCTGTCCTCTGATCCTCTTGCCTCAGCCTCCCAACTGTTGGGATTACAGGTGTGTACCTTGTTGAGCTCAAGATCTCTATTTTCTTCCATTAAGGATTTCCTATAAGTTTATTTTTTGAGACAGGGTCTTGCTATGTAGTTCAGGCTGGCCTCAAACTTGCAGGGATTCTCTTGCTTCAGCCTCCCAAGTGCTGGCATCACAGGTGTGCACCAGTATGCCTGAGTATAAATTTTTTTTTTTTTGGTACCGGGGATCAAACTTGGGTCCTTGCGTTTGCACAGCAGGCGTTGAAACCACTGAGCTAAATCCCTGGCCCTAAATTTCTTTCTTGAGACTGTGTCCTAGGGGCTTTTCATGGTTATCTCATTTAACCCTCACAACCATCTCAAGTGACAAGTATTTATCACTTTTATTTCAGAGATAAGGAAGCCGAGGCTCAGGAAAGCTGATGAGCTTGCCCCAAACCACTAGCTAGTCAGTGAGACTTTACCATCACATGGGAAACTTTCTGATTGGAAAAAGGAAACAGTACCTTTCATCTGGGGGGGAAAAGGGAACTTGGTTTCATCCTATGGCTCCATGTACATGTATTTTTTCGGCCTCATTTTCATAATTTTCAAGAGTCCTAATCCTGCCATCTGTTCTTGTGGTGGGAAACTTTGGACAAATCCCCTTCGTCCCTTTATTCATTAAAACGGTGAATTTGCGTAAACCCGGCTCCAAGGGCCTTTTGTTGCACTGTTCTGGTGTCTTCCATAAGTCCTGCGTCCCTGCAATTACCATCCATGGAGGAAGAATTTTTAATTTGTTTGGGTTTTTTTGGTTCCGGGGATCGAACTCGGGTCCTTCAGCTTGCGCAGCAGGCTAGAAACCACTGAGCTAAATCCCCGGGCCAGAATTTTTTATTTGAAAAGAGCGGTCGGTCAATGGCTTGTATAAGGTTATACTGCGAGGGACAGTTGTAGAGACGTCAGGAGCTCGGGGCATCATCCACTTTCCCAGAGGCCAGGGTGCCTGTGGTCACACCGGATTCCGCTGGAGGGCGACTTCAGCCCTAGCGGCAAGATCCTGTGGTTCTAGTGAGCGCCAGAGAAGAAAGCCAGAGCTGTAGCGACGACGCGGGGATTCCCGGAGGACCCTCCTTTTGTACAGGTCTCACGTAAGGGTCTTTAGGTCCCACTTAAACTTATCAGAGAACCCCGCGACCACCTCGGGTTGAACCACCAGTGGCAGGCGGAGCACCGCACATCTCCCCATACCTGTCAAATGGATATTTTTTAAAGGCCAAGCGAAATAACGGGAAGGAAACGCTCCGTCCGTTACGTGAGAGGCTCAACAACGGCCTGAATCACCGGTGCTGCGCCGGCGGAAGCTCTCCTCCCGGTGAGCGCCCGTCCCGCCGCCCGGGTTCGCGAGTCCCACAGGAAGCGCCTCGCACCGCCGGGCTCCGCACTCTGGCCACGCCCCTTCGCGCGCGGCGCATTGGGCCCGCCTCCAGCGAGATCCGCAGATTCGCTAGGCCGGGTCCTCGGGATTATACGAATACTTCTTGCTTGAAAATTCTCATTTAGATTCTAAGAGGACTTTTGGGTTGTAGTCATTTCCCTCTGGAGCGGAAGTAGGCTGTCCCCTGAGTTGTTCTAGTAAGGAGATCCAGAAAAGTGGCCGAATCTGCCACCTTCGGCAGGGCTTGGTTGACCGGGACTTATTTTCTTGATTCCACCAAGGCAGGTGAAGGAAGGAACCGGCTGAAGACAGGAACAGTGGCGAATCTGCAGCCTCTTAGACCTTTGGCCGCGCAAGGAAGGGGCAAGGAAGACAGGCAAAGGAGCCTGCATCCTATTAACTGAGTCGCCCCGCCCGCGTAACGAATCTGCGTCTATTCAACGCGCCACTCACGCCTCCTGAGCCCTAGCTAGCCTCCTTCCCTCCGCCCCGCCCCCTTTCCCTCATGGCCTAGTCGCAGCTTTCGCCGCCGTCGATTCGTCAAGAACCCCAGACGGGATTAGCTAGGTACCACTGGCGAAGCCTACTCTCCAGGGAATGCGGCCAATCTCCAGGTTCCCTTGGCCGCAATTTCAGAGCCTTCCAAGGCACTGGCCGAGGCAAAGCCGCTAACCTCGGCTTCGGAGATCTCCGGGCAGTGCCCGTGGCGAAAGTGCGAATGCAGACGCTGTGCCCGCTAGACCTCGCGCAGGTGGCGGTGGTGTTTGGTGCGCGCGCCGGGGAGGTGGTGGGGGGGGCGCCGCCGCCGCCACCGCTGCGGGGCCGGGTGTCGCGCTGCCGCCGCCGCCGCCGCCGCCTCGCGCCACTGAGGTGCCGCGCGGGGTGGGGGGAGGGGGAGCCACGGGCGGGTGAGTAGGCCCGCGGCGCGCGTGCGCGGAGACGAGGAGGGGGGTGCAGAACGCGCCGGGGCGGGAGAGGGTAGCGGCGCGCTTTCCCTCCACCCCCCGCCCGAATCCGGGGCTGAAGCCGGGTCTCGGGCTCGGTCTCGCGGTGTTTCCAACGCCCCGAAGAGGTGCCACCTCTCAGCAGGAGGGTCGGGGCGCGGGGACGGGAGCGGCGGTGTGGGAGCGGGAGCCGGGCTTGGCCCGGGCCGCTGGCCGGTGAGGAGGCGGGAGGGGGCGGGGCCTGCCAGGGGGCGGGGGAGGGGTCCTGCTTGGAGGCAGAGTGGGGCGCGCGCTGGGGAGAACGGGAAGGGAAGCGGGCGCGAGATGGGCCTGGGAGCCGCGGGGTGGAGTTGGGAAGTGGGGAGAGAATGGGGTGTTATGCGAAACAGGGCACTGGGGCAAAATCTGAGGGAGCCCCGGGTCCTGGTGAGGTGTGGAAACGAGTGATGGGAGAGCCTGGAGTCTGGGCTAGCCAATGAGGGGACAGCAAGGGAGTCAGGCCTAAGCTCTGGACCCCTTTTGCGTATTCCTCTTTCCTAACAGTGTAAATGAGCGAAGATGGATCAGGAAGGTGGGGGAGATGGGCAGAAAGCCCCAAGCTTCCAGTGGCGGAACTACAAGCTCATCGTGGATCCTGCCTTGGACCCTGCCTTGCGCAGGCCTTCTCAGAAGGTGTACCGTTATGACGGAGTCCACTTCAGTGTCAACGTGAGTGCCACACATCCTTCCGAGCCTTCTGGGGAATGCCAGGTCCTCCTTTCCTCTGTTACCCTATTCAGCACCAAGAACTCCCGTACCCATAGCTTGCCTTGTCAAAAATGAGTGAACCCAGCTCTCTTGCAGATCTCCAAATGGGCTTCTTAGAGCTTAGCAACCTGGTTCCATCCTAAACAATCTTTCTGTTCCTGCTTTCCTTACTAGGACTCAAAGTACATACCGGTGGAAGACCTCCAAGACCCCCGTTGCCATGTCAGGTCCAAAAACAGAGACTTTTCCCTTCCAGTCCCTAAGTTTAAGGTAGGTGTCTGCTGGTATGATCCTTGGAGAGTATCGAGGGTACTGTCACTCTGCTCTTCAGATAGTCCAGTAAAAGGGGCAGTCCACTGAAAGACTGAAAGCCAGATCTCACAACCCGAGTCTATGAGACAGAAGTGTTCTGGATGGAAGGTGCACTTGTACAGCAAAGGTGCCCCAAGTATGTCCCTGGTAAGGGTGTTGATTCTTCAAGGATGAGTTAAGGACAGGTTTAACTGCTGTATGTCTCGCTGTGTGTTCCTGGATAGTATACAGCACAACAGTAAGATAGTTTAATTTCTTAGTAATAAAGGTGAGTGACAAGGCCACCGCTTCCCTGGAGTCTTCTTTCTTCACTTCTCATTTGGCCACATGATCCTCCATCTTGGTTCCTAAGAGCATTCCCATTTCCCCATGTAGGTGGGATAGTCATCAGGCCTTGGACTAAACTTAAAAAACTACGGGTTCTTAGTTTTCTTCACTCATTCTTTGTTTTTCCTCATTAATTCTGCCCTAAGTAGTTTTTGGGGTCTGATTTTATTTTGTACATTTTCCGTGCACATTCTCTTTCATACCTATGGTTTTGACTATTGCCTTGGTGTTGATGACTTCTATTTATTTCATTTTTTGGTACTGGGGATGGAACTCAGGACCTCATGCTTGCCAGGCAGGCGCTGTGCCGATAGGCTAAATCCCTGGCCCTTGATGACTTCTTTTTTTTTCTTTTTTGGTACTGGGGATCGAACTCGGGTCCTTGTGTTTGCAAGGCAGGTGGTGGACCACTGAACTAAATCCCTGGCCCCCTTGATGACTTCTGAATATCTGTTTCCAGACTACATCAGTCTCAAACTCCAGACCCTGTATGCCTGGTAGAGGGACAGTTCTATTTGGATGCCCCATAGACATCTGACACTCTCTAAATTTAATCCATCAATTTATTCCATCAATCCTGCTCTCCCTTTCATATTCTCTTTACTAATAAATGACAGTATCTACTGAATTACACAGGGAGGCACCCAATATTTCTTTGTTTTATTTTTATGTTAATCCTTCTGTTCTCATTGCAATTTCGTTAATACAGATTCTTGTATTAATTTTACATGGTTTTCTTGCTTCCACGCTATTTTCATACTCAATTCTGCTGTTACTTATTTCTTTGATTTTACTGTTCTTTTTTTTTTTTTTGGTACCGGGGATCGAACTCAGGACCTTGCGCTTGCGAGGCAGGCAGCGGCACCACTGAGGTAAATCCCCGGCCCCTTTACTGTTATTTTTTTGCCAAGTCTGTTTTCAGGGTATCGGCATATATGGTTATTGATCTGGCCAACCCTTATTCTCTGCCTTCACACTATTCCTGTGTTTCACCCACACCACACAGCTTGCAGTTTTTGAAAATGCCAAGTTCTGTAGTTTCTTTTTCTTCTTTTTTTTTCTTGTTTGTGTTTTGAGACAGGCTCTCACTATGTAGTTCAAGCTGTCCTTGAACTCTGGCCTCAAACTTGAAGTGATCCATCCCCCTGTCTCAGCCTCCAGAGTGCTGGGATTACAGGCGTGAGCCACCACACCCAGCCTGTTCTATAGTTTTTATGTCCTGAAAGTCCTTGTTATTTTGGTGAATTCCTGTATAGCCAAAAAGCACAGTAAGAATGATATCATCTTTATGAATCCTTTCCTGATTCTACTCTGCACAAAAATTTCCTTCTCTGGGCTCCCAAACACACTGTCTAGAGTTTTCTTGACACTGTGGCACACTGATTATGTCTGTTTTGTCTATTTTCCCGAGTGTGAATGTCTTTTTCCATCTTTGTATTTCTAGTGCCTATCTCATGTTAGTAACTCTTGGGGCTAGTAGATTATCTCCTTACAACTGGTTCCTTATTTGTGTGTTTATTCCTGAGTTGTGCATTTCTCTTCTTGGTTCTTGCTAGTCTGTGGTAAGAGGAATTCAGGGAGAGAAGGGTCAGGACCGATGTAGCCCCAGCCGTGGCGGCTTTCCCTTACCCTTCAGTCTCCCAGACCCCTCTCTCTTGACCTCATAGATCTTGCTATATTTTCTCAAAGGGCAAAGGAACAGTGTTTGGTATAGAGCAGTGATGGTGAACCTTTTAGAGACAAGTGGCCAAACTTCAATCCAAAACCCACTTAAGCCCAACTAAATCTAAATGAGGTTTTAGTTCAGAAAAAACAACTCATACATTAACATCTTTTGTATTAAAAAAAAAGCAAGTAACAACAAGCCATAGGTTTGCCACCCCTGGCATAGAATCTCCAGACCAACTCCTGTCTTCTCCACAGCTGGATGAGTTCTACATTGGGCAGATCCCACTGAAGGAAGTGACTTTTGCAAGGCTGAACGACAACGTGCGGGAAACCTTCCTGAAGGACATGTGCCGAAAGTATGGCGAGGTGGAAGAGGTAGAGATCCTTCTTCACCCCCGTACTCGCAAGCACCTGGGCCTGGCCCGTGTGCTCTTCACCAGCACTCGGGGTGCCAAGGAAACAGTCAAAAACCTCCACCTTACCTCCGTCATGGGCAACATCATCCATGCCCAGCTTGACATCAAAGGTGAGGGCTCCCTTGCCTGCTGCTCAAGGTTGGTCTTCAGTTGAAAGCGTACATGCTAATATTCATTGAGGCCAGGCACGTAATCAAGGTCACAATTACTTATGTAAAGTTGGGGTTAGATGTGTTTCTGAACTCAAGTTTTCTTGAGAATTATGGTACATATATGATGTTTTTTGTATCATTGCCAGCATTGTCAGGGCAGTATCCTATAGTCAAACCCATGACTATATCCATAAGAAATTATATGAAGAATAGAGTGAATAAAGTTATTGTAGTAAATCAAGACAGATTTTAATACCAAATTTTAAAAAATGCTAGATTTTCCAGTTTTTTATTTTAAAATTTTATATATGAAGTGGTTTTTTTTGGTACCAGGGATCGAACTTGGGTCCTTGAGCTTGCGCAGCAGGCGGCAAAACCACTGAGCTAAATCCCCGGCCCAATATGAAGCTTTTGAGGATTGAGGGAATAGCTCCGTGGTAGAGTTTTTGCCTGGTTTATGTGAGGCCTTGGATTTGATCCCCAGCACCAAAAATAAAGAGCCAAGTGTGGTGGCACAGGGCTGTGATCCCAGCACTGCCAAGGCAGGGGGATCACAAGTTTCAGTTCAGCCTGGGGAACTTAGTGACTTAGTGAGACCTTGTCTCAAAATAGAAAATACAAAAAAAGTATGACGATTAGCTCAGTGGGAAGGCCCTGAATTCAAGTGTCAGTACCACTAAAAATCAAATAAAAAATAAATGCATTTATTTTCTTGTTTTTTTAAAAAATTTTTTGGTACTGGGGATCAAACTTGGGACCTTGCACTTGGTGACGCAGGCGGCGGAACCACTGAGCTAAATCCCGAGCCCTTTTTTTTTTTTTTTTTTGGTACCGGGGATGGAACTCTGGTCCTTGCGCTTGTGAGGCAGGTTTTAATGGAGCCCAGGCTGGCCTCAAACTTGAGGTGATCCTCCTGCCTCAGCCTCCTGAGTGTTGGAATTACAGGCGTGTGCCATCATGCCCAGCCTCAAAAATTTAAAAAAATGAAAAACATAGGGCTGGAGGTAGAGCTTAGTGGTAGAGCACATACTTACCATGTTCAAAGCCTTTAGTTCAATTCCTACGACTACCAAAAAAATTCTAAGAAGAAGACCTGTGAAGACAAAACAGTCCAGATTGCCTTATTAAGGAGCAGTAGGGAAGAGTGGGGTCATGGCAGGCTGTAAGTTACAGCGCTAAGGAGGCAGCTGTGAGTTGGCGTCAGTCAGTTTGCAAGGAAAAGAGGAGTGGCAACAGGGCCTTGCTGTGTGGTCCAGGCTGGCCTCAAACTTGAGATGGTCCTCCTGCCTCAGCCTCCTGTGTGCTGGAACTATAGGCATGCACTGCCATGCTCAGCCCAAATTTGTTTTTTTTGGTACCTGGGATTAAACTCAGGACCTTGTGCTTACAAGGCAGGTGCAGTGCCACTGAGCTAAATCCCCAGCCCCCAGATTTGATTTTTACAAGCCAGAAGACTAGATTTTTGTATATAACCTTATGAATTTTAAGTATTATATTTCTTCCATTTTTTTTTGTCTTTTATTTTTTGAGATGTTCTTACTACATAGTCCAGGGTGGCCTTGAACTTAACAGCCCTCTTACCTCTGCCTCCCAAGTACTGGAATTAACAGCCTTGCATCATACCTGGCTCCTTTTAAGATTTTTTTTTTTCCCTTGCAGTACTGGTAATTGAACCCAGGGCTTTCACACTGAGATACATCCCCAACCATTTTTTAAATTTTCTGTCTTGAGACAAGGTTGTTTAAGTTGTCCAGGCTGGGCTCAAACTTTCATCAGTCTTCCTGCCTCAGTCTCCCAAAGTGTTGGGATTACCGGTGCAACCACTATGCCTGGGTCCTCCCAGGATTTTTTTAAGCTATCATGCAAGGCGAATGAAATTCAATTATAGGCTGGATTTAGTTTTCAGGTTGCCATGTTACAGGTTTTTTTTGGTTTTTTGTGGGGTTTTTTTGGTACTGGGGATCGAACTTGGGACCTTGCGCTTTCAAGGCAGGCAGCAGAACCACTGAGTTAAATCCCCAGCCCATGTTACAGTCTATAGGATAAGGAGTATGGAGGGATTTAGCCTCAGAGAAGCTAGATTTGAATTCCAGTTCTTCCACTGACCAATTTTGTGACTTTGTGCAGGTAAATTTTCTTTAATTGTTTTAAAGGGACAATTTTCTCTCCTGTGGATCATCCATTGTAATAATATGGGTAGATGTACATTTACAAACTAGGAAGTGCCAGAGAATATGTAGCTTGTAGTAGTTAATTGGTAGAGATGAGATAGATGTTCTCAAAGATAGAGATAAGGTAGGAGAACTAAAATCCCCAAACCCCAGATTTTAAGAAATTGTAGGAAACATGAGGCCTAAGAAACAGGCTTCCCAAATCAGAAAGGAGTTTTGTTGTTCTTTTTCAATACACTGGGATGTTTTACCACTGAAATACATCTCTTTTGTATTTTTATTTTTTATTTTGAGGCAGGATCTCACTAAATTGCTCAGGCAGGCCGTGTACTTATGATCCCCCTTCCTTGGCTTTCTGAGAAGCTAGGATTTCAGGGATGTGTCACTGTGCCTGGCTAGGCATTGTTTTTCCTTCTGACTGACTGTTCTTGTTCCTCTCACATAGGACAACAGCGAATGAAGTACTATGAGTTGATTGTCAATGGTTCCTACACCCCTCAGACTGTGCCCACGGGGGGCAAGGCGCTGAGTGAGAAGTTCCAGGGTTCTGGTGCAGCCACTGAGACGGTGAGAAGCTTGTGGCTACCACAGCCCTAGCCATGTGGACACTGCCTGATTGCCAGGAGCAGGAGCCACCTTTGGGAGGTTCTAGCCTTTATTGTGAAGCTTAGGAAGAGCCAAGAAAAGATGCATAGAAACTTTCAGGGTACAGGGATCTAGGGTTCTTCTGGAGCACGGCAAGCTTTTGAATGGTGCCTGATCTTTTTCTTCTCTCCTTGCCCTACTCTCTCTCCAGACTGAATCCCGCCGCCGCTCATGCTCTGACACAGCTGCCTACCCATCAGGCACTGCTGTGGTGGGCACCCCTGGCAATGGTACCCCCTGCTCCCAGGATGCAAGTTTTTCCAGCAGCCGACAAGATACCCCCACTTCCTTTGGCCAGTTCACCCCTCAGTCCTCCCAAGGAACCCCCTACACACCTCGGGGCAGCACCCCTTACTCTCAGGACTCCGCCTACTCCAGCAGGTACAGAGCACACCACAGAGGCCTGGGCATCAGGCCCTGGGAGCTGCCATCAGGAAGAAGCCCAGAGCTCTCCGAGGGGACTGGAAGCCATCTGGCCTGCTCTCTGTAGACTGAGCCAACGAGTTGCTGTCTGCAGGGACACTGTAGAAATGATGCGTAGCTCTTCTGAGGGCAGTATAGAGAGGCTTTGGGTATGAGAACTGGGGTGGTCAGGCTTGGTCGTGTAGAGATGAGCCCAGTTAACTCTCACGCTTCTTTTCCAGCAGCACTTCAGCCTCCTTCAAGCCCCGGCGGTCAGAAAACAGCTACCAAGATTCCTTTTCCCGCCGCCATTTCTCAGCGTCCGCAGCCCCCACGACTGCCTCCACAGCCATCTCTGCCACCACTGCAGCCACTGCCGTGTCCTCCTCTTCCTCCTCCTCATCCTCTTCGTCATCGTCCTCTTCCTCGTCCTCTCAGTTTCGTGGTTCGGATTCAAACTACCCAGCATATTATGAAAGCTGGAATCGCTACCAGCGTCATACTTCCTATCCTCCACGCCGGGCAGCTCGAGAGGAGCCCTCTGGTGCCCCTTTTTCTGAAAGTACTGCTGAACGCTTCCCACCCTCCTACACCTCGTACTTGCCCCCTGAGCCCAGCCGGCCCGCTGACCAAGACTACCGGCCTCCTGCCTCAGAGGCCCCACCCCCGGAGCCCCCTGAACCAGGTGGAGCTGGGGGTGGTGGAGGACCCAGCCCTGAGAGAGAAGAAGCTCGGACCTCCCCTCGCCCAGCCTCCCCTGCCCGCTCTGGCTCCCCGGTTCCAGAGACCACCAATGAGAGTGTGCCCTTCGCCCAGCACAGCAGCCTGGATTCCCGCATTGAAATGCTGCTGAAGGAACAGCGCTCCAAGTTTTCTTTCCTGGCCTCTGACACGGAGGAGGAGGAAGAGAACAGCAGTGCTGGCCCAGGGGCCCGAGACCCTGGGAGTGAGGTGCCTTCTGGGTCAGGTCATGGGCCTTGCACGCCTCCTCCAGCCCCAGCTAATTTTGAGGATGTGGTACCTACAGGGAATGGGGAGCCAGGGGCCACCCGGGAGTCTCCCAAGGCCAATGGACAGAACCAGGTGATGTTGGGCTCAGCCGGAGAAGGTACCTGGGTTCTGGGAGGCAGGGCTGGACCCTTGGGGAGAGGGGAGTGAACCAGAGAAGAAAATGGGTTTGAGGAGAAGACCAGGAACGGGCAGCAGCTTCCTGTGACCCTCCTCTCTCCCCCACAGGCTTCTCCATGCTCTTCTGGAGAGGACATGGAGATCTCCGATGATGACAGGGGTGGCTCGCCCCCTCCAGCCCCCGCCCCCCCCCAACAGCCCCCGCCCCCACCTTACCTGGCCTCCCTTCCCCTTGGTTACCCTCCCCACCAACCTGCCTACCTCCTCCCGCCCCGCCCAGACGGGCCCCCGCCCCCTGAGTACCCCCCACCCCCCCACATCTATGACTTTGTGAACTCCTTGGAGCTTATGGATCGACTTGGGGCTCAGTGGGGAGGGATGCCCATGTCCTTCCAGATGCAGACCCAGATGTTAACGCGGCTCCACCAGCTGCGGCAGGGCAAGGGATTGACTGCAGCCTCAGCTGGTCCTCCTGGTGGGGCTTTTGGGGAAGCGTTCCTGCCTTTCCCACCTCCTCAAGAGGCAGCCTATGGTTTGCCCTATGCTTTGTATACACAAGGGCAAGAAGGCCGGGCGGCATACTCCCGGGAGGCCTACCACCTGCCTTTGCCCATGGCAGCTGAGCCCCTGCCCTCCTCCTCAGTCTCAGGAGAAGAGGCCCGGCTGCCTCCCAGGGAGGAAGCTGAGCTGGCAGAAGGCAAGGCCCTGCCATCAGCAGGCACTGTGGGCTGTGTGCTGGCCACCCTCGTCCAGGAGATGAAGAGCATCATGCAGCGAGACCTCAACCGCAAGATGGTGGAGAATGTGGCCTTTGGGGCCTTTGATCAGTGGTGGGAAAGCAAGGAGGAGAAGGCCAAGGTGAGAGCCAGTGCCTGAGATTAGGGTTCTTGGGACTTCTGGACACAGTAGACCTCGGCTTCTGCAGCCACACAGCTGAAGATAGGAGGGGAAGGCTCAAGGCAAGTGGAGGTGAGGCTGAGGGGACTCGCAGGACACGTCAGTTTGGAGGGAAGTTGGACACAGTGCAGCAGGTACGCCTGGGCCTGAGAGTCAGAAGAACGTCGTTTAGGCCCCATTGCTGCCGCTTGTAAATTGGAAAGATCCTAGTTGTTTCCCAAGGTTTATAAGCTAAATAAACAGATTTTTGAGAAAAATGCCCATAAGCGGCTGGTAGAAGTATAACAGAAATAGTGTCAAGTGGGAGAGCAAGTGAATGCATTTCTGTGGTCCTGGGACCTGGAAGTGGGTCCCAGGCGGGAGGGAATGCCTGCAATCTCAGTCCCCTGCTGCTTGCAGCCATTCCAAAATGCAGCCAAACAGCAAGCCAAGGAGGAGGAAAAAGAGAAGACAAAGCTGAAAGAACCTGGCATGCTGTCCCTCGTAGACTGGGCCAAGAGTGGGGGTACCACAGGCATCGAGGCCTTCACCTTTGGGTCAGGGCTGCGAGGGGCCCTGCGGCTGCCTTCATTTAAGGTATCCAGAACTGGTCTTGTTAAGTAGATTCGGAGTGGGGAGAGGGCCTGCTGTCCTCGGGCTACGGTTGTTTGGGAACTGTGAATGTTTGAGGTCTAAGTGGGCCTCATCCGTTGCCTGTCCCCCAGGTAAAACGGAAAGAACCCTCAGAAATTTCAGAGGCCAGTGAAGAAAAGAGGCCCCGGCCCTCCACTCCAGCTGAAGAAGATGAAGATGGTGAGTGGGAGGTCAGACAGAAGGGGAAAGGGAGTGGACTCTGTAGATTCTGATAGGACGGCGGGAAGCTGAGACAAAAGGATCAGGGTGTCTTAGGTCAAGGAGCCAAGTAGAGATCTTGGTAGAAGGTTAAAAGAAAGCTTGCTGGCGCACGCCTGTAATCCTGGCACTTGGGAGGCTGAGGCAGGAAGATCACCATGAGTTCAAGGCCAATCTGAACTACATAGCAAGCACTTCTGAGAGGTGTCAGAAGCATCCTCTAGGGTTCTCCCTGCATTGTAGTTGTGATTATTACTAAAGTATGCTGATTTATGTTTTTCTGTATCTTTTTTTTTTTTTTTTTTTGGTACCGGTGATCGAACTCGGGTCCTTCTGCTTGCGAGGCAGGCGGCGGAACCACTGAGCTAAATCCCCGGCCCTGTTTTTCTGTATCTTAAACCACCTGCAAAAGTAATAACTTCAGTATGTAGGATCACAGAACTCCGAGGTTAAACAAGTCGTCTATTCAAGTCTGACATCTAATGCTTCCATTCCTCTGGAGCTTTCCCTGCAGCCTGTCAAGCCTGAGCTGTTGGCTGAAAGCTCACATGGCTGGGAAACTTCCTTGTGGAGTCCGATTGACTTCTCTGGAGTCCCACTGCCTCTGCTCTTTTTCTGGGGCAGGCGTAACAGGTGGACCCCTTCCCTCTTCCACCCAACTCAGAAAAGGGCGAGAGATAAAAGGGTGGATGTGCTAAGAACTATAAAATGTTACGTAGCTGAGCTATTTGTGTTTCTCTACTGAGCTTCAGCTTCCTAGCTATAAACAGGGCCGTCAGGAAGGTCAGCAGTAGTGTATGGGAAGCTCCTTGCACGTGGTGGGGGAGCAATGATTTATTGTTGGTGGGAATTTTCCTAACCTCTGCTCAACTGGCCCAGATTCCGAACGAGACAAGGAGGTTGGAGAGCCAGGACGTCCGGGGACCAAGCCCCCAAAGCGAGATGAAGATCGAGGAAAGACCCAGGGCAAGCACCGTAAGTCCTTTGCTTTGGACAGCGAAGGGGAAGAGGCATCCCAGGAGTCCTCCTCCGACAAGGTAAGGGCCAGGGTGTGCAGTCCCTGCTGGAAGCCTGTTTCCCAGATGTTTGTTCATAGCCATCTGCTCTCTGACCTAAAACCCAGGCAGCTGTGCCTCAGGGAGAAATAGTTGTTGCTTTCCTGTTAATCCCCGTTTGTTCTTTTCCTTAAGGATGAGGATGATGATGAGGAAGATGAGGAAGATGAAGAGCAAGAGGAAGCTGTGGATACCACTAAGAAGGAGACAGCAGTGTCAGATGGTGAGCACAGAGTTGAGTAGAACTCTGGCTTGGGGAGGAAGGGATTCAGTTACCTGGCTTGTCCTTTCCTGAGCCCTGAGAACCTTTCTGCAGGACTTACTCTCCACTTGGCCCTCCACAGGGCAACTGTTTAGCCATGTCATTGAGGCACTGGCCCTTTGGGTACTTTACGCCTGGTACTCACAGCTTAGCTCTTTTTCTGAGGACACCTGAGCAAAATCTGTTCGTTTTCCAAGGCCCTAGAGCTAGGAAATCTGTTCTCTTCTGTCCATTGGTGCAGCCGGCTCACACTTCCCACCTCTGAACACTGCTCTCTTCCTGTGAGGCCCAGGGCCCACAGTGTGCCCCACTCTAACGTTCCTCACAGCTGTGCACCTGGGCTCTCTTCTGTCCAGGTCAACACCTTTTGGCTCCCCGTGGTCTGTCAGGTATTGGGAAGGTGGCTTGGTTTCTTATTCATTCAGAAGTATATATTGAACCCCTTCTTTGTGGCAGGTGCTGTTTGGGGTACTTAGGACATTGCTATGGCCAGGACAGATGTGGTTCCACTTTTGAGAGCTTGTTGGAGGGAGGTGGAGGCTTAACAAACAAATGAACAAATCTTGTCACTGCAGTACAACTGTTTTGAAGAAGGTTAAATAGAGGACTGGGGTGGAGAGAAACAGATTGAGGTGCTGGGGAAGGATGGACTGTTTCTGTGCAGAGTCCCTCCCCAGCAGAAGCCTCGGTTTTCTGTGGAGAGTGGGGTGCAGGCCCTCCTCAGCGTGTTGACCACCTCTTCCCGTCAGTCTTACCTTCTGGTAGCTTCTTGAATTTGTCATCTCTGCCCTCCTGGTACCCTGCCTTTGTCACTTAGATTCTTGGAGCGATCTTGGACTAATTTTTGTCTCTATTTCCATTCTTCTCCCTCCATTCTGTTCTGCCTTCCAGACTGCTAGTGCAGTTATCTTCCCTAGAATGCACTCCTTTTCTTCACACAGTCTCCGGCTTCCTCCTTTCCTACAGCCTGACACACTGGGAGGCTTTATAATCCAGCCCCTGCTCGCCACTCAGCTCCATCTCGCCTCTTTAGCTCCCTCCCCACCTATTATTTTCTACTCTGATTTTCCCAATTATGTTCCTCAGAGATCGTAGAGCTCTTAGATACCTTAGGGCCTGTCTCATACATTACTGATCACCTAAGCATGTAGAGCACGTTACATTTTCATAGCTTATTTCATCCCAGAGCCCTTTCCCACAGAGATCATCATCCAGACGGCCCTTAAGATCCTTCTTGGGAAAGCTGATGTTGTGCACACCTATAATCCCAGCACTCAGGAGGCTGAGGCAGTAGGATTGCTGAGTCGAGGCCAGCTGGGCTATGTAGCGAGACCCTGCCTCAAAACATACAAAACAAAAATAAGATCCATTTTGGGAAAAGCTTTAGTAGTAAGAGCACACTGCTTGTTGGTCTTTAACATTGCTGCTTGACGCCTGTTAGGCGTGACATCCCATGCTTGCGTGGTGAGATGACTCCCTTTCCTTCTCAGTTTCAACATCTCCATCTCAGAGATGCCTTCCTTGCTTTGCTCATCCGGGCAGAATCCAGGGCTTGCTTCTGCGGAATCTCCAGCCCCTTGTACTGGTATTTGTCACCTTGTGAACAGGTGTTTGCTTGTCCAGCTCCTTGACATAGCAAGCTTGCATCCATCTGGTATAGAGCCAGACATCCAGAGTAGTGAGTCAGTGAATGAACCCCCAGCTTGACCAAGGGAGGGTCTTCCTACTTCGTCTGATTGCCCCTTCTGAATTTCCAGGGGAGGATGAGGAAAGCGATTCGTCGTCCAAATGTTCTCTGTATGCCGACTCAGATGGTGAAAATGGCAGCACGTCGGACTCTGAGAGCAGCACCTCATCTTCCTCATCATCTTCATCATCCTCTTCATCATCGGAGTCCTCCTCTGAAGAGGAAGAGGAAGAGGAGCAGGCAGCAGCCATTCCCTCAGCCTCACCACCCCCCAGGGATGTCCCAGAGCCCCTCCCGGCACCTGTCGAGGAGCCAGAGCCAGAGGGGGCAGCCGGCTCCCCCGTGGCACCTCTTCCTGAGCAGGAGAAGTCTCCATCGAGGCCTGCAGGTAGGTGGTGCAGGACAGGTGAATCAGTTTTTGTGTATGAGTCTGGGTCTGAAGAGCAGTGGAACTTGCTGTAATTAATTTTATACAAGTGTGTGTGACTTTGTTGGTTTTATATTGAGAGCAGTGGAAAGCCCTCAGGAGTGTTAGCAGATTCGTGATTTGAAAACATACAAAGAAAGTCATTTTCTCTTGTCCTTTCCCTCCTTGGGAACGTAATGGCCTAACACTCAAATTGTTTTGCCATAGTGATTTACGGAGCCAAACTACGGTGTTTGGCTCCTGCTACCCTAAAACAGGATCGTCTCTTCCCAAGTAAGTTTGGTAGAAAAATTTCCAATTTAATAAATTACCCCTCATTTTCCTTAAGCCCATTCCTTCAGTGGGCTTATGTGCAGGCTATTAAATGGGCAAATATTAACATCTCAGAATTTAGTTCTACTTTTGCTTTCTTGTTTTTTTTTTGGTACCGGGGATCAAATACTTTTGCTTTCTTCATATCATTGTACATACCACATGCATGAAGTGTATCCTACTGTGGAAAATGTTTGTTTGGCCAGTAGATATTGAGTACTTAGCACAGCTAGTAGTAGTCCAAGGGATATGATGATGTTTCCTGCAGACACTGTTCTCACCCTATAGAGCGTACAGTCTACGTAGAGAGACAGGACACTTTCATAGTAAATGCATAGGAAAATCTGTGGCTGCAAACTGGTAACTCTCATGAAGGAAGAGCACAGGGTACAGAACTTGGGTGCATCTGCAAGCCTCTTAACACCATCCCGTTGAAGCATAGCTGGGGTGAAATCCAGACAAAGCAGATAGGAAGGAAGGATGATCAGGTACAAAGGCCCCAAGGCAGGATCACCAGCAGGTTGGAAGAAAGTGGGAAGAAAGTGGGTTGAGAGGTAGGGTTAGCGACACGAGGTGGCTAGAACTTGGGGGGTGAGTAGGGCCAGGCCATGCCAAGTGCGTAGGTTATGTATGAATTTGGTCTTTGTCTCGAGAGCACTAGAAGGCCCTGGAGAAGCGACATGACTAGGTTTGTGATCTGAAAAGATGCAGTGCAGAGAAGTTGGAGAGGGGCTAGTTTAATGAAGGGCCTGTTCAGAGGCTGTGCAGTAAGGAAAGAAATAAGTTACCTCTCAAGACACATTTCAGAGGGCAGCCCATTCGGGACCCCTCCTGTCTCAGGATGAAGTTCAGTACAGGCTGGCCTCAAACTCGAGGCAATCCTCCTGCCTCAGCCTCCCAAGTGCTGGGATTACAGGTGTGTACACCCCCCACCCCTTCGGGAGTTTTTGCTTTTTTTTTTTTTTGTGGTACCTGGGATTGAATTCAACCTTGCACTTGCCAGGCAGGCGTGGTGCCACTGAGCTAAATCTCCAGCCCTTAAGGAGCTATTCTTATTCCACATTCTTATTCCCCAGTAAATTTGCCTACTCTTAAGATGCACTTCAGAGACACACGAGGCCTCCATACTTGGATGTCACTGAGAATCCTTGGCCCAAGTTGGGCAGGAACCACAGGAAGACCAAGTACTGGTGCACGCTGTTTGAGTCCAGAGCCCACAAGATGTGTTGAGCCTCTCTTGGTTGGAACTCAGTTATTCAGGTAGCAGCAGAGCCTGTGAAGCCAAGGCAGCTCAGAGGACATCATCTTAGCAGCTTTTCTCTCTCAGGAAGGAGTGGGTATGGCCACATCTGTGTTTGAAAAGGGCCATCTGGCAGGAGGGGAGATTTGGAAGAGGTGAGGCAGAAGGCAGGATGACAGTGTATGGTTGGCTGTGGCGGCACAAGCCTCAGGTCCAGCAGGACGATCATTGAGAGTTGGAGGCCAGCCTGAGCTGCATGGCAGGACCCTGTCTCCAGCAGAGAAGAGTGTTTGATGGGGTGCAAGTAGGATACAGGCAGGAACCACGTAGGGCGGTTCTAAGGAGCTGCAGGAGAGACGGAGAGAGAAGGAGAGAGAGGATGAGTTTGGGAAAGCTCCTGACCAGGAAAGGGAACTCTGGAAAGTAAACCAGGATTAAGAAGAAAGCTGGGCCAGGGATGCAACTCAGTGGCATCGTGCCTGTCTCTCAAGCACAAGGTCATGCGTTTGATCCCCAGTACTCCCCCTCCCTCCCCCGCCAAAAGAAGAAAGCTGGTGAAGTTAGTTTGGTTGGCTTGAGTCTGAGGTGCCTCTGGGACCTCCAGGCAGAAACATTGGCAGTTGGATCATATATTGATCCTTAAGGGTGTGAGCTTCCTGTGTTCGAGCACATGAGGGAGAAATCCAGAGCCTGAAAGTCTTGTAAGAGGTGGATAGGAATCCAGGGAGGCAGGAAAAGCCATGATCAGGGAAGGGGGCGGAACCAGCGAGTGTGTTTTGAACACGAAGGGAAGCACAGATTTAAAAGGAGTGGTGGTCTGTATCATCAGGTCGCAAGAGGTGTAAGACAGGATAAATGTTGGATGTGGCGCTTCAAATTTCACTGGAGGGGTTCGGATTGAAGCCAAGCCACGAGTGAGGGGGTAACAAACGTAGTACTCTGTGGAGAGGTAGGTTGGCCTTGCCGAGCAAACAGTTGGGAGCCGTGATGACACTTGGCAGTACTTCCTGTGTGCCAGGCTTGAGGCACACACAGCACGTTGGAAACTTGTTCAGTGCATGTGACGTTTTTGCCATTGCTACTTTACAGAGAAGCTGCAGGCTTAGGGAGAGACAGCAGGAAGCAAATGCAGGGTTGGTGCAGGGTTTAGCTTTTCGGAGTCGGCGAAATGTTGGTGTGAAGGGAAGAGGGGACAGGTGGATGGACAGACAGAGGGACAGATCCCACTGAAGTGGCGTCCTGGGAAGCCAGAGGAGGGCCTGATGCAAGTGTGTGTGAGTGGGGAGACAGGAGCTGTGTGCACCTTTGGGTCCTGTTTTTCTCCTCCCTTCCAGTCTGCTGCACTTTCACCCCGCTGCAGATGCCACCTCTTCTCCATTCTAGCACAGTGGGTCCACACCAGCCTCCCTCCTAGGTCCCTATGCACGAGAAGTTTCCAATGGGGCAGGGGTGGGCCAGGGCCCCACCTTAGTGGTCTCAGCTACTGGTTGTACAGTACAAGCTGGCTTCTAGCCCTGTAGATCTGAGGGCACTGGGAGAGCAGCTCTTGCAGAAAGGTGGGAGTTATATGACTAGGCAGCCCCCACCCCATCTCCTACATGAAAGGGGTGGGCAAACGTCTACCAGGTGGAAGAGCTCAGGGAAATGTGTGTGGAAAACCCTTGCTCAGAGGAGAATTTGCTGTCCTCGACAGCCAGGCTTTTGGAGGACAGGGGACCAGGCTGCCCAAGCCTGGCAGAGAGAAAAGGGGAGAAGACTCAGAACCTGGAGGGCCCAGACTGAGTATGGGCTTCTGCTAGCTTCCAGGTGTGGATTGCCACTAGCTGAGACCCCAGGTGACATCCAGAGCCCAGCTCTATAGGTCAGGGGCTTTCCTCAGGGTGTCACTTGGGGCTTTGGACACAGGGTGACCCTAGCCCCCTGAGGCCCGGCCCGATGCTGTGTGCCCCTTACTTCTCTTTTTTTTGAGGGTGGGGGCGGGGATTTAGCTCAGTGATGCCGCTGCCAGCCTCGCAAGCACAAGGTCCTGAGTTGGATCCCTGGTACCAAAAAAAAATGTGTGTCTTCATCCATCATAATCACCAGATCTGGCACTGTGCAACTTCTGGCACTTCCCCAGTGTCAAAATGACCATGGAGGTAAACATTTTAAATCAGTTTTAGGACAGTGAGGTGGACTGTCAGGAAAGATCACTTCTAGAGCTACTTGAGAAAGTGGCAGGAATGATGCTGGCGGGGTTGTGGGGAGAAAGGAACCCTCCTCCATTGTTGGTGGGAGTGCAGACTGGTGCAACCACTGTGGAAATCAGTATGGAGATTCCTCAAAGAACCAGGGCTAGAGGTCCCATTTGACCCAGCTATTCACCTACTGGGAATCTTCCCCAAAGAATTAGAATCATACCACAGTGATATATGTGCACCCATGTTCATAGCGGCATGGTTTGTAATAGCTAAAGCTTAGAAGCAGCCCAAGTGCCCATCAGCTGGAAACTGGATAAAGAAGATGTGGTTTTTTCATAAAATGGAGTACTACTCAGCCATAAAGAACGAGAACTAGAGTCATTTATAGCTAAATGGATGCATATTGAGGCCATCCTCTTAAGAGAAATAAATAGGACACACATGTGTAAATACCGAATAGTTTCTCTAGTGTGAGAAACTGAGAGTGTAAATAAGGATGTAAATAAAATGAATAATTGATAATCTGAAATAGGAAAAGGTCCAAAGGGATAGGGGTGGCGGGAGGGAAAGGGGAAAGGGAAGAAAGGAAAGGAAAAATTATGAGAAAGAAAAAAAAAGGAAACAAAGTCTGTGTAAATAGGGAAGGGTGGAGGGGGTGAAGGGCGCACAGGTAATGGAAAAATAACTAAGATACATCATGTTGAGGTACAAGCACCCAATGATAAACGTAATTGTATACCTAAAATGTGCCAATAAATGTATTTTTTTTAAAAAAAAGAAAGTGGCAGGAATGATGGGACAAGTGTATTGAAAGTAAGGAGCAGGGCCAGGGATTTCGCTCAGTGGTTTCACTTCCTGCCTGGCAAGTGGAAGGACTTGAGTTCGATCCCCAGTACCAGAAACCCCATCTTGGTCAGGGCCTAGTCTTTGGCTGCGTGTCTGCCACTGGCAGGACTAAGAGAAGCCTCAGCCCAGCATGCCCTCTTCCAGTGTGTCTGCACTTGGTTTGTGCTGCCTCCCCACTGGACCAAGAGCCCCTGAGCATGTGGAGTAGCTCCCCGGCCAGAGCTTCCGCTGCCCTAACCTGCTAGGGCTCGGTACGTGTGCAGGTGCAGAAATCCACACCGTGAAGGGAGCCCAGTGCCTGGCGGAAGTCTGCCACGGGGTGGGTGGCCTGAGTTTTCCGGCACACTGCACACAGCCTGAGGCCGAGGCTGCCTGGGAGCTGAGGCCTCTCCCCGTGTGCTTCCCTCCCCAGGCCCCACCGAGGAACCCACCCGCAGTGTGCCCCAGCTGCCCCCAGAGCCACTCGCCGGGCCCCCCGCCCCTCCACCCTGCCTGGATGAACGCCCCTCTTCTCCTATCCCCCTTCTGCCTCCACCCAAGAAGCGTCGGAAGACCGTGTCCTTCTCTGCCATGGAGGAGGTGCGGGCCCCAGAGCCGCCCCTGGCCGCCCTCCCACAGGCCAAGCCCCCCGGCGCGGTGTCTCGGAAAGGCCCCCGGGGTGCCGAGAGGACCATTCGAAACCTGCCCCTGGACCACGCGTCTCTGGTGAGGAGCTGGCCCGAGGAGGTGTCCCGAGGAGGCCGCAGCCGCGCTGGGGGCCGAGGCCGCCCCGCTGAGGAGGAAGAGGTGGAGCCCGGCACAGACGTGGACCTGGCTGTGCTGGCTGACCTGGCCCTGGCCCCAGCCCTGGCCCTAGCCCAGCGCTCACTGGCCGCCCTGCCCCCTGGTGACGACTCGGAGGCCACGGAGACCTCGGATGAAGCTGATCGCCTGGGGCCCCCGCTCAGCCACATCTTCCTGGAGCACAACTACGCCCTGGCTGTCAAGCCCACACCCTCCACCCCGGCCCCGAGGCCCCCGGAGCCCGTCCCAGCCCCTGCCGCCCTCTTCAGCTCCCCGGCAGATGAGGTCCTGGAGGCCCCTGAGGTGGTGGTGGCTGAAGCAGAGGAGCCAAAGCCACAGCAGCAAGTGCAGGTGCAGCAGGAGGAGGGGGAGGAAGAGGAGGAGGAAGAGGAGGAGTCCGAGTCCTCGGAGAGCAGCAGCAGCAGCAGCAGCAGCGATGGGGCCAGGGCTGGGGCCGGGGCTGGGGCTGGGGCTGGGGGTGGCCAGAGGCGCAGCCTTCGCTCCCATGCCCGGCGCTGGCGGCCAGTGCTCCCACCGCCACCGCCGCCACCCTCCTTCGAGCCCCGAAGCGAGTTTGAGCAGATGACCATCCTATATGACATTTGGAACTCGGGCCTGGACTTGGAAGACATGAGCTACCTGCGGCTCACGTACGAGCGGCTGCTGCAGCAGACCAGTGGGGCCGACTGGCTTAATGACACCCACTGGGTCCACCATACAAATATCCTGAGTCCCGGTGCGGCCTGCCTGTGCAGGATGGGAAGACGGGTGGGCAGTGTCCCCGCTGCACGGCCTCCCCATCCCTCAGCCCCCGTCTTCAGCTTGCTACACCCTGTTGCGCTTGCGAGTTTCCCTCCTGGCTACCCACCGTCTTTTCCCTCTGCCTCAGTGCCTCTTTTCTGCCTCCCAAGTTTCTGAGTCAGCCTGAGCTCCGTCATCTCCTGTCCCCTCACTCTGAGTGCCCACCAGCTCATAGCCGGGGTTGGGGTGAACAGAGAGGAGTGGGCCCCAGGGATTGGGCCGGGGACCCATTCTCTTCCTTAACGCCCCGCACTCACCAACCTGAGCACTCCAAAGCGCAAGCGGCGGCCCCAGGATGGGCCCCGAGAGCACCAGACAGGCTCCGCGCGCAGTGAAGGTTATTACCCCATCAGCAAGAAGGAGAAGGACAAGTACCTGGATGTGTGCCCTGTCTCAGCCCGGCAGCTGGAAGGAGTGGACACTCAGGTGGGGCCCTGCCCTGCTCCTCTGCCCACTGCTGCCTCCTTCCCACCGCGCCAGTCACCTCCCCTGTCCTCCTCACAGGGGACGAATCGTGTGCTTTCTGAGCGCCGGTCTGAGCAGCGGCGGCTGCTGAGTGCCATTGGCACCTCAGCCATCGTGGACAGTGACCTGCTGAAGCTGAACCAGCTCAAGGTGAGACGTGGGACCTGGAGGGGAGCAGGCTCCGTGGACAGGCCGACATCCTGTGCCCTGGCATTGGGAGGCGGGAGGCACAGACACCCTCCATCCGGGGAGGTCTGCAGGAAAGGCCATGCGCGAGTGCCAGAGACCACATCCAGCAGTAGTCTCCCTCTGCTCCCCAGTTCCGGAAGAAGAAGCTCCGATTTGGCCGGAGCCGGATCCACGAATGGGGTCTGTTTGCCATGGAGCCCATTGCAGCTGACGAGATGGTCATCGAGTATGTGGGTCAGAACATCCGCCAGGTGAGGCTCCATGCCCAGCCCCGGGCCCGACTGTGCTTTGACACCGGGCAGCACGGGATTTCACAAGTACCAATTGACTGCACAAAGCCTCACTTCCCTTCCAGCTCCAAGGCAGCCAGTAAAACCTGGGTCCTTGCTGCATCCTTCATTAGGGCATTTGTTTGATTTTGAGACAGGGTCTCACTGCATAGCCCAGGCTGGCCTCAAACTCTCAGTGATCTCCTGTACAGGTAAACATGTCAGTGGTCCCACAGGAATCAGCACTGGAACTCTTGCTCCCTTTAAGAATGTGGGGAACATGAGACAAGTAGCAGTGAAGGGCAGTGTTTGATATTAAAGGGGATGCTTGGAAGGCAAGGGCAGTAGGGGGTCATCCTAGGAACCGAGAGCTGAAGGGTGGGAGGCGTGTAGTGGGGCATGCTTCCGTGTCAGGACGGCACGGACAAAGCCCTGGAGATAGAGCGGTCACGTAAGGATGAGATCAGTATGGCTAGGCGGAAAAACAGGGCCCAGTGGCAGGGATGGGAGTCCGGAGGGGCGGATGGCGCCCAGGATCTGCGGCGCTGAGGAGCCACATTTGTAGTGTGGGCCTGTGTGAGAGGGGCTTCTGGGAAGCTAAGCAGGAGACCTAGCGGTCCGTAAACTCCTGGCTACACTGGAGAGAGAACTGGTCTGGGCTGAAGATGGGGCTGTTGCAGAGATCCAGGCCGAGGTGAGGGTGGCCTGGACTAGGCAGTGGCACAGAGGCGACAGGAGTCTGCTCTGGATCCAAGGCTTTGCAGGCCCAAGCAGCGGGGTGGTGGGGCGTGGGAACAGAGGGGAAGGTGAGCCCTTCCTTGGGGTGCTGCTGCTGGCTTCTCGGAGTGATGGGGCTTCCTTGAATGAGCGAGGAGGAAGCGCAGGAGGAGTTCCAGTCACAAGTGTGAGGCTGCAGAGCCCTGGGGACCTCTAGTGGTTAGCAGCCAGCAGCTCACCTGCAGTAGTTGGGCTGGACATGGGCCTTTGGGGGGACTCCCCACTTGTTAGTGGTGGCTGCAGCACTGGGAGTGGGGTCACCAAGGAGAGAGTGCAGAGCGGCTTGTCTCTTGCCGGAAAGTAACAGTTGCCTCTCCTCACACACACGTGATCTGCCGCTGCGCCAGCAGCCAGCGGTGTGCGTGCTTGGGAGGGAGGGTCCTAGAAGAGGTGGTGGGGCTCAGGTGTCCCTTCAGGAACTGCCCAGCCCCCGCCCCGCAGTGGCCAGGCAGACGGTCTCAGAGGAGCTGGTGCAGGGTTCCCTGGAGTCTCCGTGCGGGTGGCAGAGCCCGAAGGGCGGCCAGCCAGCTGTGGCGGCACAGGCCTCTAACCCAGCACTCTGGGAGGCCGAGTTCCCTTGTTCCCTTCGTTCAGGAGAATCACAAGTTTGAGCCCAGCCCGGGCTACTAGGACTTAGCAAGACAGGTCTCAAAGCAGAGGTAGTACGAGCGGGGGCTCTAGTTCGCGTGGAGGCCGTCCGGTCCACGGCGCTGGGAGAAGAGGGCCGGGCCCAGGCCAGGCCTGGAGAGGCCGGCGTGACCTCCGTGTCCGCGTGGCAGATGGTGGCCGACATGCGGGAGAAGCGCTACGTGCAGGAGGGCATCGGCAGCAGCTACCTGTTCCGGGTGGACCACGACACCATCATCGATGCCACCAAGTGTGGCAACCTGGCGAGGTTCATCAACCACTGCTGCACGGTGCGCTGGGGCCGGGCGGGGTGGGGGCGGGGCGCGGGCGCGGCTCACGCGCCTCCCTCTGCAGCCCAACTGCTACGCCAAGGTGATCACCATCGAGTCGCAGAAGAAGATCGTGATCTACTCCAAGCAGCCCATCGGGGTGGATGAGGAGATCACCTACGACTACAAGTTCCCGCTGGAGGACAGCAAGATCCCGTGCCTGTGCGGCGCCGAGAGCTGCCGTGGCTCGCTCAACTGAGCGGGGCCCGGTCACTTGTCCCCTCGGTGCGCTGAGCTCCAGCACCCCGGCCTTAGTGGGCTCGGCGGGCCCAGTCGCAGGGGGGTGTGGGCGGGGCCTCGGGGAGCCGAGCCCCGCCCCGCCCCGCCCCGCCCCTTTTCTTTGCGGAGAAGAAGCTGTAAATGTGTTGTAGTTGCCAGCAGCTGTTTCCTGTGGAAACCTGGGTGCCGGCCTGTACAGACCCTGTCCTTGGGGGCTGCAGCGCCCCCTTGCTTTGTGTTACGGGGGTTTCCCTTTGTGCCCCGCGTGCGCCCCTCCCCGGTTCAGGGGTCTCTAGGGGCAGTGGCCATGTTCTTCCCGGGGGGCCTGTGCCCCCATCCCGGGGACTCCGTGCCTGGAACCCTGCCTCATCCTCCTCCCGCCAGACCCTGCGGTCACCCTCCCACCCTGTTGTCTGGGGGCTCCCGCCCAGCCAGCAGGATGGTGGGGTGGGCCCTTGTCGGGCCGGGTTGTACATATGTTAATAGTGCAGACTCCACCACATTTTTATAATTGTGATTAAACTTTATTGTACAAAAGCGCTTGGTCAGTATCTCTGGGGAAGAGCAGGCTGGGGCCCGGGCTGAGGACCCAGGACGGAGCGCGACGGAGGAGAAGATGGGCGGCCCGAGGATTGCAGTGGGCAGAGGGGCTCAGGCCAGAGCCTGGACCTGCAGATGCAGTTGCCCAGCTGCCGGGCCGGGCCGTGATGGCCGCGCAGGGCTCCCCACAAGCCAGCCGGGCTGGGCCAAGGCCAGGCTGCCTTCCTTCCCCAGGGCCGCAGCTGCTGCCGGGGCTCCGGCATCCTGGGAAATCGGCAGGAGGCGAGGACTGAGTCACGCCGGGCGCTGAGGGGGCTGAGGTCGCTGCGGCCTCTGCTGCGGCCCCCACCCCAGCAGCCTTTGGCTCCTCTCCCAGGTGCGGTGCTGGAGCCAGATGCCGGTGGACTGCCAAGTGGCCACCAGGGGGCGCTGCGGCAGCCGGGGCGGGGGGCAGAGGGCACGGGGGCTGGGCTGGGCTCCGTTCCTGGAACGGGCCAGGAGGGAGGAGAAGCGAGCGGAAGGAAGACGGCGGTGTGGAGGGCCGGCCAGTCCGGGAGGCAGCCTCTCCAGTGGCCAGCGCGGGCGTCCTGGGACAGTAGCTGCAGGTAGGTGGAGGTGACACCAGAGCCCAGGCAGCCCTTCCCATCTTCCTGTACCCTTCTCCCCCACCTGCACTTCCCCTTCTCTGCTACCCCAGACCTCTCCCCGTGCCCAGGCTCTTACCCCTCAGTGACTCCCCAGTTGGGGTTCACAGGCCCAGGGTCAGGTAGCCCAGAGGCTGCAGCTTCCAGGAACAGCTCACTCCTGCTCGTGGCACTGGGCTCCTGTCTGCAAGGCCACCAGGCCCCTTGAAAACCAGGTAGTTGGGACAGGTGGCCCCGGGCAACCCAGGTGAACCCAAGTCTTCCTGCAGCGAGAATGGCCGCGTGTGCAGAGGCCCCAGAACTGGTCTACCTGGTCACGGGTGGCTGTGGATTCCTGGGCGAACACGTGGTGCGAATGTTACTGGAGCAGGAGCCACGACTCCGTGAGCTGCGTGTGTTTGACCTGCGCCTGAGTCCCTGGCTGGAGGAGCTTAAGACAGGTGACTGGTGGGGAGGTTTTGGGAAGGAGGGTGTGGCCACCCGACCCTCCCCAGCTGGAAAAGATGATGCCTGTTTACGTTCTCCAGTCTACAAGGGCTGAGTGAGTCACACTGGGAACATGTGGCCCTGAGGGTGGAGGCCGAACCCGAAGCTAGCAGTGCCCCGCCTGACGCTGCCTCTGGCCTCCTCTCACACCACCAGGGCCGGTGCAGGTGACCGCCATCCAGGGGGACGTGACCCAGGCTCACGAGGTGGCAGCAGCTGTGTCTGGAGCCCACGTAGTCATCCACACAGCAGGGGTGGTGGACGTGTTTGGGAGGGTCAGCCCCGAGACCATCTACAAGGTCAACGTGCAGGGTGAGGCGCCCGCCTGGACCGCTGTCCCCTGGCACATGGCCTGCTCTTACCTGTCTGTCCCCCTCCCTTTGCCCTTAACTTCTTGTGGCTTTGGGATGGCTTGCCCTGTCCGCATGGTTTTTCATCTTGCCTGGGACGGGAGAGGACAGATGCAGAGAAGGGAGCCTCAGCTTGGATACCGCTCTCCCCAGGGACGCAGAACGTCATTGAGGCTTGTGTGCAGATGGGGACCCGGTTCCTGGTCCACACGAGCAGCATGGAGGTTGTGGGGCCCAACATCAAAGGCCAGCCCTTCCACAGGTGAGCGGAGGTGCCCGTGACTTTTGGGGCCCGTTCTCCCCCAGCACTGAGTCATCTTCCCTTCCTTAGGGGTGATGAGGACACTCCGTATGAGGCTGTGCACAAGCACCCCTACCCTCAGAGCAAGGCCCAAGCCGAGCGGCTGGTCCTAGAGGCCAATGGAAGGGAGGTGAGACTTCGGACGAGTGAGCCGAGGTGTGGCCCGCACAGACAGGCCGGAGCCCACCCCACTGCTCTGTTCTGCCGTCGCCTCCCTCCCTCCCACCTGCAGCCTGAGAGGCAGCTGCTGGGCCTAGGTCCTGGCAATGCTTGCATTTTGCCAACAGGTCCGCGGGGGCCTGACCCTGGTGACATGTGCCCTCCGCCCCACGGGCATCTACGGTGAAGGCCATCAGATCATGAGGGACTTCTACCGCCAGGGCCTGCGCCTGGGTGGCCGGCTCTTCAGGGCTGTCCCAGCCTCGGTGGAGCATGGCCGGGTGTATGTAGGTAAGGACCGGGCTGGGTGGGGAGGCCGCACACAGGACAGGAGGGCCTGCTGTGGGAGCAGCAGGCTCCATGCGGCTCTGGGAAGGGTCCTGAGTGCTTCAGCCAGAAGAGGGCTCAGGTCTGCATGGACCATGGTTATGTGAGCGTGGTCTGCACGGGCCGCAGAGGAAATGGTATCTGTGTAAGCTGGGAGGACTGACATGGACACTGGGTCACAGGCTCCCCAGCGGGAGGGAGCAGTGTCTCCCAGGACTAGCAGTGTGGGTGCAGTGGCTACCATGACAGGAGAATCGGCCTTTACCGGGCTGCAGTGGGGCAGCTGCGTGGGCCGGGACAGCAGCACTAGCAGGGTGGGAAGGGCCCTCGGGAGCACACGGACCCCCCTCGCCCCGCCCGGCAGGCAATGTGGCCTGGATGCACGTGCTGGTGGCCCGGGAGCTGGAGCAGCGGGCAGCGCTCATGGGCGGCCAAGTGTACTTCTGCTACGACCAGTCACCCTATAAGAGCTACGAGGATTTCAACATGGAGTTCCTGGGCCCCTGTGGACTGCGGCTGGTGGGCACCCGCCCACTGCTACCTCACTGGCTGCTGGTGCTCCTGACTGCCCTCAACACCCTGCTGCAGTGGCTGCTACGCCCACTGGTGCTCTACGCACCTCTGCTCAATCCCTACACGCTAGCCATGGCCAACACCACCTTCACTGTCAGCACCAACAAGGCTCAGCGCCATTTTGGCTACAAGCCCCTGTTCTCGTGGGAGGTCAGCCGGGCGCGCACCATCCTCTGGCTGCAGGGCAAGGAGGGCTCAGCCCAGTGACAGTGGGGCCAGCTCCCAGGCCAGGGAGGGGCGGTTTCCTTTCAGAGCTGGGCGCTCTGTGCAGGGCTGGCTGTCCTGTGGCCTCTACACCTGAAGTCCATAGCCTGGCATCTGAGTTGCCCCAACCTCCCAAGTTCCACGGCAGAGTCTGGAGACAGGAGCAGCCTGACTCAGCCCAGGCCTGCAGGCCAGACCTCCCCTCACTGCCCACTGCTCTGCTTATGGGAGCAAGGGGCCTCAGGCTGCAGCCAGGGCAATGTCCAGAGTGAAGAGGCTTCTCCAGCTCCTCCTGCACCATCCTCCTGCACCATCCTCCCTCCTCGGGCTTATCTTCCCACTGCTTAAGAAAAGGAGTATCACCTTTAGAACGTATCTTTAATTCCCCTCCAGAGAGCAGAGGAAGTCAGTGACCCTCCACCCAATTCAGGGCCTGCAGCTGTGTTGGCTGTCTGCCTGAGGAGCCCCCAGTGATGGTGTTCCTGGCCAACCTCCAGAATAAAATCCTTGTCCAAGCCTGTGTCCATCTGTCTGTCGCTCTCCACCCCCACCACAGACCTCGCCTCCTCATGACGCCACCCGCACGGGACGGAAGGAAGTGAGCACACAGGACACCCGCTGTTGGATTGGTTGCTATTTCTCCTGTCCCATGGGACCCGACCTGGCCCAGATGGGGTTGGGGGGCTCTGGGGACAGGACATGCAGGGCTGGGGTGGGGGGCAAAATTTCCTGTGTTTTATCCATTTGCAACTTGGTCACCAATAGAGAAATGAGACTGAGGGCTAACAGGAGAGGGCGGCGTGGCTCTGGCCCCCAACCAGGCCCCAGGAGTCCTGTCCCCTCCGGGAAGGGGAGGGAGAGAGCTCTAGAAACCAACGGAGAAACAGAAGGGTCAGGGGCTCATGTCAGCAAACACGGCTACATCACGTGACACACCAGCGACACAGAAACACACGCCAACGCACACGGCTGCACAGCAGGAAGGGGCGGGAGGGGAGAAGGGAGCCAGGGCCACCCATCTTGACCTCTGCGGGGCAGGCTGGGGAGGCAGGGGGAATGCATAGAACACATCATGTGTACACGCTCGAGGCGTGGCAAGAGCATGGGTCGACCCATGGGCACATGGGATGGTCACGCAATGTGCTTTGTGAGAGGGAGGCGTAGGGCGACGCGCCCTGGCCAGGCCCAGGACCACCACGGGGTGCACCTGGTCTTGATGGCTGTAGAGGCGTGGAAGGTGGACAGCACACCCGTCTGAGAACATGGAAGACACCAGCCCCAGACCACACTTGGGACACACACACGTGCACACAGCATCAACAAGCAAACCCATTATACAATGTACATGACTTGTGGAAAGCTGGGGCATTAGACCCTCAGGGACCCCCGGTCCACCTCAGGCCAAGATGGGCAGCTAAGGGCCTAATGCCACCACGGGGGCAGGAGCAGCACTCCAGCTTCAGCTCCGCCCTTCCTTTGTGGGCTGAAAGGTCCTGGATGGATGGCAGGAAGGAAGGCGTGCTGGGCCCACACTGACGTCTCCAAAGAAGCCTGGGCTGGGAGCAGGAAGGCTGCAGACCACGGCCGGACTTCCTGCCCTGTAAAGTGCACCTGGGGATGAGCAAGCAGCCTCCCTCCTCAGAACAACTGACCTGGGGGTCAGGTACAGGGGGCCTCGCCGGCCACAACAGGACAGGTTGGCTGGGAGGGGCTGGGAATGGCATTCAGAAGGTCACACTTGCAGTCTCCTTGCTCCCTACATGTGCATGCACACATGTCATATGTGGAGCTGACGGGGCTGCACACATACACGAGTCCACCACCCAGTACATACGGATGGCCCACCCACTTCACGCACCCGGGTGCTCACCCCACCTGCTCCTGGGTCATGGAGTGGGGGCATTCAACGTCATCTTCTTGCCCTGCACCCACAAACTATGCATGCTGTCTCCACCTCATGCTAGGTGCCAGGCCTTCCCTCACCACCAACCCCAGGCTTGTGTCCTCAGTCTCAACCACTGCCACAACCATCCACTCCAGTAGGAGAGCCTAGGGCACTGAATGGGGCAGTGAGACAGAACTCTGGCTTCTTCCAGGTCCCAGGAGAGTACGGGAGGCAGGAAGGACAATGTCCTGACTGTCCGCTAGTCTGGGCAGCCTTGTCATTCTGCCCTCAGTCACAGCTCCACAAACAGGCCTTCCAGATGGCATTCGAGTGCAGGCCTGCGGGAACACCACACTGACAAAGTATGTGTGAGTGCCCTAGGGCACACGTGTGCATGCCTGGCATAGCCATCTTAAGCTGACACACACTCAGACCTGTCCCTGGACAGACAGAAAAGATAAGGACAAAAGCTTGTGTGCAAAGGGCCTGCATCTGGCAGGCCAGGAAGCTCCAGCTGCACAATGCTGATGGAGCGGTGTGGGCAGCAACATCAGGTACCGGTCAGGGCGCTGAAAAGGGGCCGGGGTCAAATCAACCTGGCGAAACAGCCCTGGAGTGTTCAGTGCTGGGGCATGTGTGTGTGATATGCAGCCTCCAAATACACACACACACACACACACACACACACACACACACACGAGTCAGAGCTGTGTCCTAGGTAGCACAGAAATGGAGATATCTGCATCCACCCTCCACAGGTGACTGGTGCACGATGCGGAGGGCTCCTATCAACACTCTCAGTGTGTGAGCTAGCACACACATGCACATGTACACCACTGCCCCTCACATCTGCTAGGAAAACACAAGTCTACAGACCAAGCTTGGCCATTTCCCCTCACCTCCACAGCCCAACCCCAACACCCACACACGAGGACACACAGCAGCCCCTGCAGGCACTGGCCAGGAGGCTTGTTCTACGTCACGTGGGGTGTCTGCGACGGCCTGTGTCTCTGGGGCTCCCTGGGTCCCCTGAGAATGTGGACATCCGCACACACTGCCCGCTGCTTCAGAGCAGATGGGGAGGAGGTCTGGGGAGGAACTGATGTCACAGGAGTTTCAAGCACTCGAACACAAAACTTCATGTACTCAGGTTGTGTGTCCATGGATTTTTGGCCACATACAGACGCGAACACACCTATTCACAGAAAGCAAGGGGTGTGGCGGGCTGTCGACACCACAGTCCCCGTGACGAGGAAGCTCAGGCCGCACAGACTCCAGGCGGGGGTAGAGGGAAGATGGATTGCACACATCCACACGCACACACACGCTGGTGTCCACACGTCTCGAGCATGTGCCGGCAGCATGCATGTTGGTGTGCATGTGTAATCACGCCTGCTGCTATCTACGTGCGGGGCAGAGGGCAGTCCAGGGTCTGCCGTGGGGGAACAGGGAGAGGGGCTGCTGGGTCTGTTTTGGGGGTGAGCTTGGAGTGGGGAGCGAGGGAACGGGCAGTGGGGGTATTGCTCCCAGCGTGGTGGGGAGGGCCTGGAAGGGCAGGGCAGGGGCCTACAAGCCCAGCGTCCCCCCAATGGACGATGCCAACACCACCCCCAGCACCACACAGCAAATGATGATCATGATTTTCTTCTGCAGGTAGGAAAGAGTGAGACAGAGAAACAGATGGAGTGACAAGGGAGACAAACCGACAGATGGAGAGGGTGAGGAAAAGGAGGGAAAGAAAACAGAAATAGGAAGAGGTCAGAGCCGGAGGTTAGGCCTCACCCCGCTTCCTCACCCTCAGCCCTGGTCTGAGCCCAGCCCCACAGCCCCGCCCCCAGGCCCTGGCTCACCCTCCGCGCCTTGCTCTGGTATTTCACAGCTTTCTTGGTGTCGGACACAGCTCGCTCCACGTAGTCCACGGAATGCTCCACGTTGTACTCGATGCGGTCGATCATCTCACCCTAGGGACAGATGAGCGGTGGGGAGGGGGAATGGGGCTGGAAGAGGGAGCTGTGGGCCGGCGGAGGGTGAGGGAGCCGCGGGAGGCACCTGGGGGAGGCCGGAGCCCGTACCTGGCTCTCCACCAGCATGGCCATGTCCACAAACATGTCATGCAGCTCGCGGATGCTGGTTTCCAGCTTGATGATCTCATTGTGCCTCGTCTCAATCTCGTTCAAGGCCTGCTTTGTCATCTGTGAGTCCATTTTGATCTAGGGCAATGGGGGGAGTGGTCACGCTTTGCCCCTATATGAGCTTCAACTCAGCAGCCAGTTTCTGGCTTCAAATCTGGGTATCGCTGACTAGCTGTAACCACAAGCAAATTATTTAGCCTCTCCAGGCCTCAGTTTCCCCACCTAGAAAATATGGGCATGACAGTCTCCACTTCACAGGGTTATTACGCAAGCGGAGTGAGTTATGTGAGCACCTCAATTGGAACACCACCTGGTACACAGTGGGCGCTAAAGAGAAGTCTCTTAATTACCAGAACTAAAACTCTCAGAGCTCTGCCACCTTGCCCCAAGGCCTCCTCCAGCACACACACCAGACACCCAGCGAGAGAAATGACCCAAGGCAGCCAGGGTTCGAGCGGGTGAGAAGCGGCAGGCAGGCTATGGCCCGAGGGAGGGAGGAGCCCACTGTGCCTGGGCCCTGGGGTCACGGCAGGCCTCCCTGTTCCTCTCGGTGCCCACTCAGAGCCACTCCTTTACTGAGAGTCCCGCCAGAGCGCCCAGCATCCGGGCCACACACCTGCACTCCAGCAGCCAAGGCCCTGTCTCCTGTTCTGCCCGTTGCTCCTGCTCACCCTATGAGAACCAAAAGCACCCAATGGCCACTTAGCAAGGGTCCCGTCTTTGCCCAGCCTGTGCTCTGCTGTGTCCCCAAGTCCAGAACTCCTGTCTCCCAAGGCGCAGCTCAGTGACACCTCCCGTCGGGAGCCTTGACAACACAGTTACTCGCCCTGACTCACACTTGGGTCTCCCCTGCGGTCTGCACAGCCTCTGCTAAGGTCCGACCACCCTGCTCTATGAGGGTGGTTTCCGCCACGCCGACAGTGGGCCAACGGCTCGGGTCAGCTTGTGTCCACCGGAGAGGCCCTGGGCACTGCCCACCAGGCTTCCTGCATTCCCACACAGACGGAAGACAGCCTGGGCGGTGTCTGGGGGGGTTCCACCCTGACTGGCTCACAATCAGTCTGCCCAAAATTAATTCAGCAAAGACCAGTTATCCAAATAACAATTCACTGAGTACTATTAGACAATCATTGTACCTACTTTAAACCTGGGTGAAAGCATTACCCAGAAATATTTCGCAGCAGAGCACTAAACAGATGGGTTAGGACAAAAGTCCAAAGGAGAAGGAAGAGCTCTACTCAGGGCAAAGTCCACTCACCCACAGGTAAACAAGTGCAGTGTGTAAAACTTAAGCAAAAGTAAAACTGATTTTTCAAAAAAACTCCGAAATGCAGACAAATGAGTCTCGTGGGGTATGCTGGGATTCCCGGAAGGGGGTGGGCAGGCTGGGTCTCAGGCCTGCGGAGTCTGACGCTAGAACAGGATTCAGAGCCTGCCCTGCCCAGAGGCCCGAGGCTTCCCCTCTGTGAAGCAGCCTCCCCTCGGGCTGCAGAGGCCGACATGGCCGGCGCTGTCGGGCGCTGTGTGGCACCTATCCAGGCGGCCTTCCTGCCCTGCTCCGTGGAACTCCCCGGGCCCCAGTCCGGCTGCCCACTGCTCAACCTGGGCTTGGGGAGGAGGGCGATGCCCCTCTGCCAGCCCTGCCCCGGGCTCACGTCGTCGGTGAAGATGGCCAGCTTCCCGCTCTCCAGCATGTCCTCCAGCTCCTCGTTGGTCGTGGTCCTGCCGGCTGGGAAGAGAAGGGAGTCAGGGCCTGGGCCTCTGGCTGTGCAGCGGGGACGGGCAGGGACCCGAGCGCCACCCTCCCAGCCGCAAAGGGAGGGCGGGCAAAGCCGCAGAGAGCCACGCACTGATCTCCAGCTGCCGCTGGATCCGGTCCTTGCAGCGGTCCCGGTACTTGGACTGCGTGGCATTATACTCCGTCATCACCTCCACAAACTTCCGGGAGAGCGTGGAGTGCTGGGGTAGGAGCGGGAGTGTGGCGGGAACAGCACAGCTCGTTAGTTTACAGCCCTTCCTCCAGTGTGGCCTGCACCCTCCTCCCAGAAGGCTCAGGCCCACCCGAGGGGCCTCAGCCCACACACAGCCCCCACCCCAGGCCTGGCCCCCAACCTGGGTCTTTCGGATGCGCAGGTCTGCCGAGGACCGGTTCAGCCCCTCCTCCTGTTCAATGCTCTGCTCGATCGCTGCAGGAGAAGGGCACAGTGACTGGCAGGAGACCTGGGGCTGTAGGGTGGGGTCTGGGGCAACACCCCAAGGCAGGGTCTGGGCCTAGAAAGAGACGCCAGGCCAGGGCGGGGTGGGGCAGTGTCTGACAGGTGCGAAGCCAGAGCCTGTGGGTCAGGTGTTGCCAGGCAGAAGCAGCTCTCTGCTCTGGTGGAAGGACTGGGTCTCTCTTGGAAAGCGCCAGCCCGGGAGGGGATGTGGGCCCCGTCCATTAATGGGAGTGAAGTCTCCACTTCCCCACCGGCCCTGGACAGGGGCAAAAACCCAAGTGGGGATTCTGTTTTGCTATTTCCTGGAGCTCCTGGGCTCGGGCTTCCACCTCTCAAGTAGCTGTGACCACAGGCACGGGCCACCATGCGAGGTGGCCCTGTGATTTTGGGGGAAGTGGGCTCCAGCTGGTCAGGCTCTGGGGGTCACTCTTTTCCTGAGAAGTTTCAGGGCAGATGGATGGATGCTCCAACAGAGAAAACAGCCCTTCCCCTGCCCTGCCAGGCGACTCCTGTCCCAGGAGCTCCCACTCCTGCAGGGTGCTTGGGAGAAGGGTGCAGATTACGTGGGATTCCTGCTTTTGAACTATGTGCTCCTGACACTATCATTCAGATTTTCTGAAAAAGAGCTTGCAGTGAGATCTACCTCAGCAACATCAGAAAATGCAGCAGAAAATCACCAGTGCGGCTGAGACCTCAGGGCCTCCCGGGCACCCTGAGAACTCGCTTCTCTGTTCTCGGCAGTGGGGAGGTGTGGCGCTGGACGCACCCCAAGGCCTCCCACCAGTGACATGGGCACAGCGACTCAATGGCGGTCATGGCCCAGCGGACTGAGGCTCACAAACCCAGGGATGCCAGTGTCTGGGTCCAGCCCAGCCCAAGCCTGGACGGAGCATCTTTACTGGACCTCGTCAACTGTCCACAACAATCTGGGGCTCAGCGACACCAGCCCAGCTTACAAATAGTGGACCGACTCTCTCCAGGTCACACTCAAAACCTCAGCTCACGCCACCAAGTGGAAGGGGACGGAGAAGAGGAGAATCTTTTCTCTTTTCCTGAAGGCCAGCGTCTCAAACTACTGCCAGTTTTCTTGTCTTCTTCCTGGGTCTATTCCTGAACCCCCAAACCACAGAGCTCTCCTCCCATCTTCTACAGAGAGTTCAAGGCCAGAGCTCAGTGGGCCAAGGAAACAGTGAGCCTAGGAGTAGTCAGATTGTGTGCTCTGACCTCAGGGGCTCTTGCAGGGAGGGAAGGGGAGGCCCGTGGGCAGGGCCTCCCAACCCCAGTTTAGCCAGAACAACCTGGCTTTTCTGTTTTATATACTGGGTTTTGTTGTTGTTGAGACAAGGTCTTGCTGTTAGTTCAGGCTGGCCTTGAAGTCACTATGGATCCCCGGCTGTCCTCGAACTCATGGCGATCCTCCTGCCTCAGCCTCCTGAGTGCTGGATTACAGGCGTGCACCCCCACGCCCGGCAGGTTTGTTTTATATACTGGGATCACTGTAAGATTTCATTTGGAGAAAAAGATTTGGGGGGGCTTTGAAATCGCTTCCGTCTCTCTTACTGCACTGAGGAGCAAGCTGAGGGCGGGGAAGGCCTGGGCCGCTGTACCGTTGCCCCAGGTCAGGGTGTTCTCCACTTCAGCAGGCTCGGCTCCCATCCGGCCTGCCCGGGAGCTTCTGTCCCTGTCCCTGTCCCTGTCCGCCTGGGCCGAGGTCAGTGCTCAGCAGATAAAGCTCCTCCCCCAAGCCCGGCAGTGGGCTTCCGGCATGGTGAGCGCCAGGCAGCTGTTTTCTCATGTGGAATTAGCAAGCACACACGAATCAGCACCACGGCAATGCTGTGAGTCCCCGGCACAGCCACAAGGAGGTTCCCGGCCCACAGTGCCCTGGGCGAAGGTGGCTATTACCAGCACCCAAGTCTTTAATGAGAATGACTTTGTGAGCACCTGGCAAGGCCCCTAAGAGCCTGCCAGCCCTGATGCCAGCCACGTGGTCCAATCTGTCCTGAGCCGAGGAAACCAACTCATGAATTCGCCGAGCCCCCTGGGTGCACAGTGGTATGCTGCAGACATGTTCAGGAGAAATGAGGAGGAAACCAGAGCCTCGTGGAAGACAGTATTTCTCTGATGGATCTTTACTTTTTTGGTACCGGGGATCGAACTCGGGACCTTGTGCTTGCAAGGCAGGTGGTGCTACCACTGAGCTGCATCCCCTGCCTCTCTGACGGATCTTCATACTCGGAGCCAGCAGGACTCAGATGCGGTTGTGACAGCAACCCTCCTCTCCCTCTGCCCCACCCTGTCCTTCTGCAGAGAATCTGGCTCAGCGGGCAGGCCTCAGCGCTGCCCTGCCCCACTGCCAAGGAGCCTGGCTGTGGGAGTCAGTGGACTCTCCTCGAGCAAGGCCCACCGTGGCCCCCAGAGGCCCGAGCGCTTCCCGAGCTATCAGCAGCCCACACTGCTCACCTTTCAACTTGGACCGCACCTTGTTGGCTGTCTTCTTGATGTCGGCGGTGAGGTCCTCCAGCTCCTGCTTGGTCTCTGCGGTGGGGAGGGCAGGAGTGAGGAGCCAGGGTGGGACCCCAGCCCCCCGGCCCCCAGCAGCCCAGCATCGGGACGCACTCTCATCCGGGTTGGGGGCGGCCAGGATGGCACTGTGCTGCTTTTTCACCTGCTCCACATCTTCCGACAGTTTCTCAATGCAGCCTCGGATCTCTTCTACCTGGGGCAGAACATTGGCAACACTCAGCCAAGTTGCTGGGTCGGGTGAGGGGATCCAAAGGGGAAACGAGCCTGACCCAGAGGGTTCTAAGAGGCCGAGGTGGGTGCAGGGGCAGAGAAGGCTGCATGGGGAAAAGGAAGCAGCTGGCGAGGGGACAGGTCCTGGGCCTGGGGCCCTGGGAACTCATTACCTGTTCAAAGAACTCATCCATAAAGTGGTCCCGATCCACGTGAACCACCTCCTCCTCATCGTCACTGTCTTTCGCCTGGAGGCAAAGGAAGGCTAGATCCGTGAGCAGCCCCAACCCGGACCCCCAAGACGGGCACTTGAGCATGCTAACCCTCTACCTGCTACCCACCCCTCAGTTCCAGGCTGAGAGAGGGCTCTTGGGGAGGACCATGGGCAGAGGGACGCTGAGAGCATCAAAAGTCAGAATGAAGACTGGACTGTCCTGTGAAGCAAGGCTCTGGAGGCCAAGACAGCTCTCAGGCCAAAGGGCTCTCGAGGAATTAAGCAAAAATCATCTCTGGGCTGCCTGTCTTGTGGGTCAGACTTATCCAGGAAGGGGATGGTATTCAGACCAGCTGCCACTGACCAACCGCTATGGATGCATTTCAGTATTTTTTTTTCAGGTACCAGGGATCGAACTGAGGACCTTGCACTTGCAAGGCAGGCACGGCTCCACTGAGCTAAATCCCCGGCCCCTGCATGTCAGTATTTTAACCACCAAGTACTAAATGTCAGCCTTGCAACAAGGAGCCTTGAATGGTGTCCCAGGAGCCTGGACCTCGTCGGCAATCTCTAGCAAACCTGCCCAGGTCTTGATTTGCTCCTGTTCTCTCCCTTGCTGCCCCACACCCAGCCATGTGCCCGACAGCAGGGCCCAGTGAGCAAGCACAGCCAGGCCGAGCAAGCACAGCCAGGCTGGGAGGGCCGGAGGGCTGCAGGCAGCAAGCGCTCTGTTGTCAGTGCTCCCTCTCCCGCCCACTCCTGACCCTCCCGGCAGCGGCTCTTCTCTGCTTTCACTCACTCTCACCCAGCCCCTTCCACCACACACACACCCACTCTCCCTTGTTCGGATTTCCCACTTGCAACCTGCAGCTGCTCAGCCCTCCACCCGCAGAGCCAAGACACAAAGGGATTTGCCCACCCACACCACCACCGCCGACAGACAGACCAGTGACACAGACAGAAGAGCTGACACAGGCACAGAAATAGGCCTGACGCCCACGGACCCTGGCGTGCTGATGTGCACTTGCACACAGACTAATGGCGAAGTGCGCTGACATGCACACGCATGAGCTGAGGTCCCGGTGCATACCCAGAGCTGGGAAGAGGGGGCAGGGAGGCCTTCCCAGGCTTCCCACGCCTGACTTCACACTCCTCTCTGCTGGGACAGGGGTCTGAGGACAAAATCCGAGCCCATGGGCCGGGGATGTAGCTCAGTGGCACCGTGCCTGCCTCACAAGCGCAAGCTCCTGAGTTCGATCGCCGGAACCAAAAAAAAAAAACCAACCCGAGCCCATGAAGCTTAATTGCATCTGGAGCCCTAATCAGGCCCAGTGGAAATTTAAACAGCTCATCCTGATTTCCAGAAAGAATCTGGGTAGAGCTCAGGCAGAATCTAGACTGGAGAGCCTGAACGAAACCAAGGCAGGATCCAAACAGCCTCTGCCTGGGGTGCAGCCAGCTGCGACCCAGAAGACTGAGCAGACAGCTCAGGCTGGACTGGACCAGGCTCAGCCAGGTCCCAGACAGCTCAGCTTAAATCTAGACAGAGCTGTGGGACCCGAATGCAGCCCACACAGCCTAGAGAACTCAAATGGGAATGGGCAGGCCCCACTGCCCTGGGAGAGCCGGCACCACATTTGGCCCAAGCTGCTCGGCCTCCCTCCGTCCTGTGGACAGGACAGACAGGAGCCACCCCTGGCCAGCATGTGCTCAGACGCAGACGTCCCATCTCTGCCAGGAAAGGGTGGCTGTTTCACCCATGCCGCCCACACAGGAGGGTGGCACAGGTGAGTGCTGGGGACCCGGAGGGCATAGCTGCTTTCTCTGAGATTCGGGCTCATCTGTGAGCACTGCAGCCTCCCACAGTGGCTCTACTTCCCGGTCACAAACCCCAGCCGCCCTGGGACCTCCCACCGCCGAGCCCGAGCAAGCCCACAGCCTTCCTCTGCCCCGCTTCTCCCTTCGCCCACTCACCGCCTCAACACGCGTGGCCGGGCACCTGGGAACTCCCTGCTCTGCCTCTCCCCTTCCCCAGGCCGACTTTAGGAGTCCTCTCCAAGCCTCTCTTCACTTCTCCTGCGGTTCCCAGAGCTATCCCCTTGGATTCGACCCCAGAGCACCCCAGGCTACCTGTTCACCTGCCCTTGAGAGAGAAGGCAGAGGGCCTAAGGTCGCTTTTAGTGTCATAATTATTAAGAGAGCTGAGGACTAATAATCCTCTTCATTTGCACTCTTATACCCATGACCCCTTTTATCCTCCACCACAGCCCCATGAGAAAATGAGCAAACACCATCACCCCATGTCACAGGCGGGGGGCAGGGCAGGGACACTGGGCACCCAGGACTGTCGGCCCCCTGCCCACTTCCTCCAGGCTGGCTCCTGCCCAGCCCGCTCAGGGAGTCAGGGAGAGAGAGGCCTGAGCCCCGAAACCGAGCAAACTGCCATCACTCAGTGCGCCTGCCCTCTTGCTATCTCTTTTAAGCTTCATTAAGACTCTGTAAGGGCCACTGGCCAACCTAATGGCAATTATGGCAAACATTTAAATATGTTTTACAATGTGCCATGAGCTGCTTTATGGACTCTGCATATATATTTATCCATTTCATGCTTACAGCCGTGAGGTAGGGATTATTATAAGCCCCATCTATTTTTTGGTTTGGTGTTTGAGACACGGTCTTGCTATGTGGCCCAGGCTGGCCTTGAACTCACTGAGATCCTCCTGCTTCAGCCCCCCCAGTGATGGGATTACAGGCTGTGTCATCACGCCCAGCTTATAAACCCTTTTGTAGACAGGGAAACTGAGACAGACAGAGGTAAAAGAACAAGACCATGGCCGGGTGTGGTGGCACATGCCTGTGACCCCAGCACTCAGGGGGCTGAGGCAGGAGGATCCTGGTAAGTCTGAGGTCAGCCTGGGCTACACAGTGAGACCCTGTCTCAAAAAAAAAAAGAAAGAAAGAAAAAGAAAATCAGCCTCGGATGAGCAGTTTCAGACAATTTGACTCCTCTCTGGGCGTCGGTCTGTGCATTTGCTGTGGCAGTAATGTCCAACCCATGTGGAGGGCAAGAGGACATAATGCAGAGACCAGGGGAAGTGCCTCATGCTGCAAAGAACACGCTCAGTGGGGCTGTCACCTCCTGCCCATCCCAGGGTACACACGAGGAGAGCTCAGAAGGCTTGCCTGACCTGCCTACGGCGCCACAGAAAATAAAGGCAGAGGTGGAATTTGAACCCAGGACTGCTGAATCCCAGGCTTTTCCACCCATCCTGCTGCTGGATGGGAGTCCCTCTGTCCCTGCCTGGTCCCAAAGGGCCCACCCTGTGGTGTACTCAGTGCTTCTGCGCTCCACAGCCAGGGCAGAGAGCTGTCAGAGGGGCCAAGGCTGTAGGAAGAGCCCAGGGCCCAGACAGGAAGCCAGGCCTCCTGCCTCTGCCGGCCTTGCTCTGACTGGAGGCAGCACTCTGGGCGCTGGACCCTCCTGTGGGAGGTTCGCAGGCCCAAGGCAAGCGTTCGGCACACACCCTTCCTGCTCTGAGGTGCGTGGGTTTGACATGAGCACAGCCCCCATTCCTGGAAGAAGTCGGACAGCCTGAGAGAAGTCAGGCACAGCCTTGTAACAGAACCCTGGCAGGCCAAGGCAGGACGATTGCGAGGATCCACTGAGACCCCGGCTCCAAAATGAACAAAAACATCGCCATGTAACCCAGGCTGGCCTCCTGCCTCAGCCCACCGAGTGCTGGGATCGCAGGCATGTGCCACCACACTTGGCTAAAAATTTCTTTTAAAAAAGGACTGGGAGGGCCGAGGATTTAGCTCAGTGGTTTCGCTGCCTGCCTTGCAAGTGCAAGGACCTGAGTTCGATCTCCAGTACCAAAAAAAAAAAAAAAAAAAGGACTGGAACTGCAGCTCCGTGTTCACTCTCCAGTACCAGAGAGAGAGAGAGAAAGAGCGAGAGAGACCGATGGCGAGAGACAGAGCAAGCAGGCGGGCAGGCGTGGGCAAAGGAGACCCCAGGAAGAGGATCAAATGTGCCCACTGGGCTATGGCGGATGATCTGTCTGTCCCACCATGAAGGGTGGGGAGGTAGAGACAGGCACCCGGGCTTTGTGTCTGCTAGGATCCTCAGGGCCTCCCGCGGCAGGTTCTGCTCTCACCCCGTTTGACAGATGAGGTTTGCCGCAAGTGAGTAACCTGCCCAGGAGGGCCCAGCCACGGGCCAGGGGGTGGCTATGCCTAGGGCTGGACCCAGCCCTCTGCTCCTGGCTGCCCACGGCTGCTCACATGCTTATGAGGGCTGCAGGTGGTAGCAGCAAACACCTCCTGGAGCCGCCTTGCAGGCCCCTCACAGGCCAGGCTGGCACCTGGAGACACATCCCTCCTGTGCGTGTGCGTGTGTAGAGGACAAGGGCAGATTCCCAAATGGGAAGAGGAGAGAGCCAACCGGAGCCAGCGAGTGAGTGACCAGAGAGACAGATGGCGACCAAGATGGAACTGGGCGGTGGGGAAGTCACAGGGGGCGTGTGTGAGCACACGAGTGCCCGGGCACACTGACACACACTCACCCTCGCTCCTGGGTGCAGGCAGCAGCCGCCTAGTCCATCTGTCGCCTCTCCTTGCCTTCTGCACCACCCTCCCGGTGAGCCAGGAATGTAGTGGCGAACAGGACTGGCAGTGAGATGGGAGAGAGAGCCCCAAGGTGCCGATGGCAGGAGGGACAGGAAGCAGAGACCAGAAGCAGGTGTGGGGAGGCTTCCCATGGGTGGTTAGTTTGGGTTTTCTGTTGTTTTGTTTTTGAGACCAGACTCGCTGTGTACTGTCTGCTGACCTCACACTCACAGCAATCATCCTGTCTCAGCCTCCCAAGTGCTGGGATTCCAGGGTGTGCACCAGCATGCCAGGCCACATGGCGGGTTAGGGAAGGCCTTTCTGACATTTGCGCTGAGTCCTGAAGAGTCACTGCACTACAGTGTGGAGGGAACTGAATATGAGGCAGAGGGAACAGCATTCTAGGGGGGAAGGAACAGTGTTCTGAGCAAAGGAAACAAGGGCAAAGACTCTGAAGAAGGGTATAATGTGTCTGATATGCTTGAGAGGCAGACAGAAGCTCCGTGCAGCTGAAACCCCACCCCTCCTGCTTTCCCCTGCCTGTCCCTGTGTCCTCTCCTGGCCTCGCTCCCGCTCTGCTTCCTCTGGCCCATTCACTCCCCTCTGCTCTCCAGCCCAGGCTTGCTTACTCCAACTCCCCAGCAGGACCAGCCCAGGGCCTCCCAGTTTCCAGCTCAGGACACTTGGTGAGCTGGAGACAGAAACCCTGGTTGGACCCCAGCTCTGCCAGTAAGAGCTGTGTCACCTTCAGCAAGTCAGCTTTCTTTTTCCCACTGGTCTTCAGTTAACCCCAAAATAAATCAGGGGTCACATCCTGCCCACCTCAGGGGCCTAAGCGAGGCTCAAGAGCAACATGGAGTCCTCGAAGAGCCAGCTGCAGGGAGCCGGCACTCTGTGCTCGGACTACTCTTAATCCCACTCAGGACAGCTCGGATCAGGTCCTCACATTGCTCCCAGCACACACAGGAAGGAAGGCTGGGCCAGACCAGGGTAAGGTGCCTGCCCCAGGTCACACAGGAAGGAGCACAGTGAGGGTTTGAGCCCAGACGGTCTGGGTCCCAAATCTGTGCCCGCCATAACTGTGTGGTCAGCAGACGTAGCCACCACTGGGATGGGGGCCCTGCTGGAAAGACAAACAGGCCCAGCAGGCTTCTTTCCATCTCAGAGAGCTCCTCTGGGCTCCCCACACCGGCCCCCAGCCCCCACCCTGAGCCCTGGCAGGGAGACCCTTACTTGCTTCTTGCATCTGGCAGCTTCTTTCTGCCCCCTCCCAAATTTCCACCCTCCCTGAGCTGTCTGTGACTAACACCAAAGCCAGCAGCGTTCAGCCCCCTCCGGCCTCTCCCCCCCCAATCCCCGGCAGCCCTGCCAGCAGTGCCCAAACCTCTGGACAGGCACCCTGGCCCCTCAGGGAGCTCCCACCCTTGGCACCCCTCCCCTCCCTTTTTCTGCTGTGTGACTTTGGTCAAGTTACTTAACCTTTCTGGTTTCCTTATCTATAAAATGAGCTAATACTGGGCGGGGGACGTAGCTCAGGGGCACAGCGTCTGCCTGGCAAGCACGAGGCCCTGAGTTCAACTCCCAGTACCAAAGAGAGAGAGAGAGAGAGAGAGAGAGAGAGAGAGAGAGAGAGAGAGAGAGAGAATACTAGCACCAGCCTCATACTTGAGAGGATCAAAATGACTGACTGATTTTGTTTGTTCTGAGACGGTGTCTCACTGTGTACCCCAGGCTGGCCTTGCACTTACAGCGATCCTCCTGCCTCAGTCTCCTGAGCGCTGGGATCACAGGTGTGCACCACCACACCCAAGTCAATGATTTACATGTATAAAATGCTCAAAATAGTGTTGGTTATTATTTCCTTTTTGCCTGAGTATATATGCAGTAAAAGTTAAGAAATAAATCTAATCAGATGCATGCCTGGGATCCCAGGTGCATTCTGGGAGCCAAGAGAATTATGAGTTCAGGGCTACCCCACGCAACTTAGCAAAACCCTGTTTCAAAACGAAAACGAAAAAAAAAGAAAAGAAAAACACTGGGTGGGGATGTAGCTCAGTACCAAGACCCCGGGTTCAATGTCTAGTACCATAAAAAACAAACAAATGAAAATAAACCTTCCAATTCCCTCCTTCTACCTTCCTTTCTTTCTTACTTGCTAGCTTGTCTCCCCAGAGAAGGCAGAGACGGCTATCACTTGGCTCCAGGTTGTGTCCCCACCCCCAAATACAGGGGTCTCTCCAAAGATTGCTCTTTACCTCTAGTGTCAAGACTTCTAGTTAAGGCAAGAAAAGCAGACCCACACTGATTCAGCAGATGGGAGACTCAGATTCCAGCCTGTTCCCCCATTTGCTTGATGACCTTGGGCAAGTCCCTTCTCATCTCTGAACCTCAGTTTCCCTACCCGTCAAGTGGGGTAACACCCAGCAGGCTGCTGGTAGAGACCCGGTGCGAGGACACTGGCCGCTGGCCGCGGCCGGTACTTTGGTGGAGAAACAGCACAGGGCGATTACACACACAGCAAGTGGCCAGCTCTGCCTCCTCCCTCGCTTCTGCAATGCTCCAGCATCCTCCCCGCCTCCCCAGCCATTCCCGCCCGAGTCCCTTCCCCAGCCCCTCCGAAGACAGCTGCCCGTGCACCGCGGGCCGCCCCCCTCCCGACACCCAGCTGCCCGCCTCCTCCTCGGCCTCCCCCTCGGCCTGCGGCCCGGGCCTGCCGGGCGCTCGGGGCCCCAGTTCCCGGGGAGCGTGGTCCCCCTCTCCTCCCACCGGGGTCACCCACCCGGGCCTCGGCCCCCCGCCGGTCTCCGGGGCCGCCGCTTCCCTCCCGTGGGGCCGACATGCGAGTGCACACACGGACACACGCACACTTTCATTCACTGCCCGGCGCTGGCTCAGTCTCAGCTGTGCCCTCCCGCAGCACCCGAACCTGGGTCCCGAGACGCGGCCTGGCCGGTCAGCGCCGCACCCTCCCGTCGGCAGCCCGCCCCTCCTCCCGGGAGCGCTCGCCCGGAGAGGGGGAGACGCCGCTCGGTCCCGCCGACTCCCGCCGCCTCGTGCTCCGCGCCCCCGCGCGCTCCCCACCTCCTGGGTCCCGCCCCACCTCCCCCGGAGGCTCACACTCCGCAGCTCCTGAGTCCGATCCTTCATCCTGCGACGGCTCCTCCCCCTCCTCGGCCTCGGCCTCCGCCGCTGCTCCCTGCTTCCCACCGCGGTGCTGCAGGCCGGGTCTGGGGCGCCCGGGGCGGCCGGGTCACGAGGGGTCCTGTGGGCGAGGCGGGGCCGGGCAGAGGCCGCTCCGCTCCGATCCGCTCCGCCGGGCTGCGGTGGCGATGCGGCTGCGGCACCCGCGGGATGAGGGATGCGGGCGCGGGCGCGGGCGCGGGCGCGCGTGGGGGGGGGCGGGAGCGCGGCGGAGGCAGGGGGCATGCGCAGCCGGGCCGGGGGCGCCTGGGGCTTGTAGTCCGCGAGGGGCGCGCGGGAGGCGGGCAGAGGCGGGGGCCAGGGAGGGCGTGCGGTCCCTTACACCCAGAGATGCGCACAGATTGTTTCGCGCCCGCCTCGGTAGGAGCCGCGCGACCACCGCCGTGCGAGTGTCCCTGAAGGAGGCTGGCTCTCTGGACACTGGGGATACAGACTGACCCTCCGCGCGGCTTTTTGATGAGAGGAACCAGCCAGTCGCTTGCTGAGAAGGATGTAGGGCTTATTGGCACGGCCTTCCTCAACCTACGCGCGAGCCCGGCAGTGCTGGGTCTGGGAGTTCTGCCTGCCCCTCCAGGGACAAGGTGCCCCGACAGGACCGCTGGCCGTCTTGAGGTGGCTCTGACGGTTAAAAATGAAATTTGTCTGGGGCCAGGGAGGTAGCGAAGTGATAGAGCACTTGCTTAGCCCATGCCAGGCCCTGGGTTCTATCCCTAGTAGGCAGAAGGAAAGAAAAATGTTTGGGAGAGCAAATCGGGAGCCCTGGAAGGTCCGAGTTACCCTGCATGCTCTTCCCTTTCCTCCCATCTCCTCATCCTCTCCCTGCCCCAGCAATGGGCCTCTGGCCCCTGATGGGGGACTGTGCTTTTGCTAAGTACCCAGCCAGCTGCTTGATACCAGATTCATCACCCACTGCTCAGCCCCTCTCCTCTTTGACCTTTCAGCAGCACTTGACCCCAATGACCTCTGTTGTCCGAAACCGTCCCCTCCTTGACTCCCTGCCTGCCTGCTGCCCCCAAACTCTGGCTCTTGTCTTCCATCCTCTTTCCAGGCCACTCCTTTCTCCTAGAACCCTTCAACCTCAGTGCCCCTGTACTCTCTCCCAGGGTCTCCACTTTCTCTACATGCACCTTTCTGCACCTGCATGCCTTCAGTATCCACATCTGTCTCTGCAATTCATATTCCTCCCCTCTGAGAAAGTCCTTAAAAAGAGAAAAAACGAGAAGAAAGCTTCTACTGTGTCTGAGCTGGACACCAGGAACACAGAGACAAGGCACGCTGTCAGAGACGCAAGCAGATCCATACCTGTGGTGAACAAGGCCGGGCCCCTTCTGGGGCCCCAACACCATGCTGGCCGGGCCTCCCTACGGTGCTGCTCCTCTGTGCTCTGTCCGCTCAGCCACTCACTGCCAACGCAAGGCTGTCGTTGACTTCTTCCCCATCATAATACCGCTCCCATGTTCAGAGCAGCCTCCATGTGTCACCCAAGACACTGGTAGCTCCTGTAAACCCTCTGAGCTCACAGCAGCGACTGCTGTTATTATCCCAAGGTACAGATCAGGGACCTTGGGTGGTTAGGTAACGTGTCCAGGTGTTCACAGGAAGACTCTCGTCTGCAGCTTTTGATCGCGGAGTCCACTCCTAAAACCACAGCTAGAGCTCCTCTCTCAGCTGCCACATCCAGAGCTGGCTCCTGGGGCCGTGCCGTCCAGGACAGTTTCCTCCCTGGTCTCCCAACTTGAGGCTCCTTTCCTTCATATCCACCCTCCTTCCTGACCCCTAGGGTCACTGTCCCCAAATAAACATGATAGATTTAACACCCTTTGCTATCACCGCCCCGACCCTTGACCGCCTGCTCTGACTTTGACTCCCACTGTCGCCTCTTCTCTCCTCCGCTGTCCCCATACCATGGACCTTGTCCTTAATCATGGCGACGAACCACGGACTCCAGGCACCTCCAGACACCTCACTACCGCTTTGCTCTGCCTGGAATACGGCTGAGCTTTGTGACAGACTTTTCATCCTTCAAGGCCCACAGTCTGGGCAGGCAGACACCAGACAGCCTCGCTACAAGCAGGCTGAGCCTGCTTCCCCACCAGCCTAAGGTGGGCTGACTAGTGTCTGCTTGCACAAAGTAGTTGCTGGCTAAGAATCTGCTTTTTTTTTTTTTTGGTACTGGGGATCGAACTCAGGTCCTTGCGCTTGCACAGCAGGCAGCGAAACCACTCAGCTAAATCCTCGGCCCGTTGGCTAAGAATCTGAATGAATGAATGAATGAATGAATGGTGTATCTCTTTACACCTTTACCCAGGCATAAAGACAATGAAAATTAACTCCACGGGCCAGGCACTGTGGCGCATGCCTGTAGTCCCAGCATTCGAGAGGCCGAGGCAGGATCACCAGGAGCCTGGGCTACTTAACGAGATTCTGTCTAAAAAAAAAGAAAGAAAGAAAAGAAACTCTCTGAAGGCGGAGACTGTCATCTGTTTTGTTCATTGCCAGTTCTCCAGTGGCAGCCTCTGTGGAACATAGCAGGTGCTCAGTATTTGGTGAATGAATGAATGAGTGAAAGGTGCACAACTCAGACCTGGCTGTGGCTCTGAAGATGGACACAGACCGTGTGGTGTCAGGACAAGGGTGATTTCCATTGTTGTCCAGTGATCTTAATGCTGGTTTGTTGTTTTCGTAGTGCTGGCCATGGAACCCAAGGCTTCGAATATGGCAGGCAAAACCTGTACCCCATGACTTTGACCTATCGCTTCAGATCTCACAGACAACCTTGCAAGGTGAGCCTGAATCATGCAGCGGTTTCCTACGCATTCTCAAGTATCAAACTGAGGCCGGGGATTTAGCTCAGTGGTTCTACCCCCTGCGTCGAAGGTGCAAGGTTCTGAGTTTGATCCCCGGGACCAAACAAAACAAAACAAAAATGTAAAATTGAGGCAGTCCCTGTAGACAAAGCCCAGACTTCCTAACATGGCTTTCTACTTTAGCACGGGCCACTGTTTCTCATGCACCCTGCGATTCTACTCCCAAATCATTCTCTGCATTTTCTATTTTTTTGAGACAGGGTCTTGCTTTGTAGCCCAGGCTGGCCTTGAACTTGCAGCGATCTTCCTGCCTCAGCCTACTGAGTGCTGGGATCACAGGTGTGCCCACCCAGCCCGGCGTTCCTTGCATTTTCTCACCTCCATGCCTTTCCTCCTGTTGCTCCTGTCCTCTGGGACCTTCTTCCCCTTCATGTCTTTTCAAGTTGAGCTGCTGCAGATTTCTTCACTCCTGAAGATGGAGGGAAAGCCTCTTAAATATACAGATTACTGGGCCTCTTTACCACAAATTCTGATTCAGTAGATTCAGCCTGGAATCTGGGTTTTTAGGAAATACCTCTCACAATTCTTGTTTTCATATTGGGGAATCATAGCATATTAGGTAGGCTAGGCTGGCTTATGCTGTGTTGGAATGTGACCACTTGGTGGTCTCCGGACAGACCACCAACCACACAAGTAGGAGCAAAATCAGCTTTATTGCCGGCAGCTTCCAGGGATTCGAATCACCTTGAAAGCGTCAAACAGAAGTTTACTCTCATTTTTATATCCTTAAGTTTACTCTCATTTTTATATCCTTGAGTTTCTATGGGAGTGGGAAACAGCAGCTGTAATCACTGGGGAAACAGCCATCAATCTAAACATAATTACATAAGCAAAGGGGCAGTGAAGGGGAGCAGGAGGGCCAGGGATTTAGCTCAGTGGTTCCAGCGCCTGCCTCGCAAGCGCGAGGTCCCGAGTTCGATCTCCGGTACCAAAAAAGAAAAAGAAAAAAAATGAAGGGGGAGCAGGAGGTTTGGCAGGGCTTTCTGAGATGCCTTGCTCTAGTGAGTTTGCATTACAGTAGTGACTACAGTTACAATGTATCTTTCTCAGCAAGCACAGTTACACAGTTAACCCATAGTTGTCCATTTTTACACTGGGGGACAGTTTTTGCTCGTTTCCCCCTTTGAGGCTCTGATTGAAGAGCCTCACTTTTTATATCAACTTTTATTATCAAAATCTGTCTGCATAAACTTTTTATAGACTGATATCCTTTAGCCCATAAGACCTTGGAGGGTGTTTTCCGTTCTACAGTGGTCTCTGTCATGGTGTGCAGAGCCCTGATCACTATGGGTATCAAGCAAGGGATAAGTGAGCAGATTCCAGTAACAGCGATAAACCTTTCTATCATTGTCCTAAAGCCCCTAGAGCTGAGAACCATCTTTTAAACACTTCTCTGGCATCCCACCCTTTCCAGGCCTGGACTGGTACATGGGCTACCTCTTGCGTTTTTCTGCTTTTTCCCAATTATAGGGAAGTTGGCATATGCCCTGTTTCTGCATATGCAATATAATCTTTTAGGGGCTGACTAGTGGATGGAGGCAGATAGGTTTTTCTATCCTAGGCTCAGATTAAGAAATTGAGCCAAGGGGTTAATGTTTTATTTTCCCACCACTCTGTGTTCTTTTTGGTGGGATCCCATGTTTTTGTCTCCCATGGCCATTGATCCCCCATCAGAGTTCCTCCACACACATAGCATGAGGTGACATTTAGTGAGTGGGCCATGTTTTTTGTTAGACCCATGAACAGGTTTTGGGTCACCATAGGAACCTGTGGCAGAGGTTGGACCATCTCTATAGAAGGAATGAAAGAGTCTGAAACTGGAGGTTGGCTAGGGCAAAAGCACACCTCCTGATGTGGGTCAGTGTCTCAGGGTCATAACCTCACCCGTTTATCTGTAGTCTAAAGTCTTTGTCCTCCTCCTACTTTGGGTCCTGGGGTCTCTGATGTTGACAGTGACTGGATTACAGACCCTGGGGCCACAAGGGGCTGAGGGTCTCTGTTTCTTTGAAGGAGAAAACTGTCCGCCAGGTGCCCCATTTCACATAAGATAATAGGAGCAACCACTGGCTGGTGGTGGATCTACACCAATCCCATAGGTTATTTTTCCAGACACATATATGCTTGTCATTATTGCTATACTTTTTTCCCAGTGTGTGCCCCCGCATGACATGAAAGGAAAGTGGATCATTCCATACCTAGGGGGAAACATTTGATTAGCTTTTGTTTTTGGCACCGGAGATCGAACTCAGGACCTTGCACTTGTGAGGCAGGCGCCGAAACCACTGAGCTAAATCCCTGGCCCCATTTGATTAGCTTTAAAGGTGAAATTGATAGCTGCCGAGGCATCAAAAAAAATTAGCTCTCCAGGCCTTAATTTTGTGGTTTTATTTATCAAGGATCTCAATTTGTCTCTGGTGTGAGACACACTTGGGATTTTTTTTTTTTTTTTTTTTTGGTACCGGGGATCAAACTTGGGTCCTTGCGCTTGCACAGCAGGTGGCGAAACCACTGAGCTAAATCCCCGGCCCACACTTGGGATTTTAAACTCTCAAGCAGTTCTTATTTTTGGGTTAAAGCAAATGGGTGGGGTACCATCTTTAGGCTTACAGATCTTATCCGTAGTCAAATTAGGGTGCAGGTTTTTATGACCTCTCTTTATAAACATAGTAAGTATGGAAAAGCAAAATAGTCTAACAGAAGCTCCTGTCCGAGTGACATGCAGGCAGGGGTCACAGCTGCTGGTTCCCCTGTAGGAATTACTCCCCCGGATGTCACTCCTGGAGTGGAGGAGATAAGACCCTTAATAAAAGCAACTAATATCAGTAAAACATCCTACCCACAAAAGGAAGGTGAGGACTATCAGACATTTTTTTTGTCCCAATTTCCGTCAGCTGGGGTAGTGTCAGCAAAGTCTATGGCAAAAAGCAGGGAAAGAAATCCTAACACAGTTTAAAGCAAGGCATGACAGCTCATGTCAGTTAGGAACAAAGGTATGCAGTCCTGGCTTTGGCGGGGTCCCCAGGCTTCTGTGTGCGTAGCCTACTCAGCCCCGGAGGGACTGGAGCAGGGCTGATGTCCTCTGCTGGCTTTTTCTTGGTTTCCCTCCAAGTCAGGATGATCTTGGTGCCATGATGAGGGTCTCTGGAGCAAACACCTCCACTCTGGTGTCGCAGCCTTCTTCACCCAACTATGGTGGACCCACCTGGGGACTCCTTCTACTTGGACTGCTGTGGGAGTAGTCAGAATGACTTAATGGACCCTTCCATTTGGGGTTAAGGCTGCCTTGTCTCCAGTCCTTTACCCAAACTGAATCTCCTGGAGAGAAGGGGTGGAGTGGACTAGAAATGCTAACAGGGGCCCTTTCTAAGGCCCAAGAGGTTATCTTTTGGGAGAGCTTTCCTAGCTCAATCAATTGTCTTCCTAAGGTAGCTTCTCCTACTGTCCCTATACTGTGTTCTGGTCCTCTCAGGACAGGGGTGCCCTGGCAAACAGAAGCTCAGAGGGTGAACAGCCTGTGCTCTTGTGGGGAGTGCAATGTGTGTGGAGAAGCACAATAGGTAAGGCCTGGACACAGGTTAGGCCAGCCTCTTGGCAGAGTTTTTCTAACCCCACTTTTAGGGTTCTATTTATCCTCTACCTTTCCTGAGCTCTGGGGCCGACAGGCCGCATGTAAATTCCAATTACTCCCCAATGCCTTTGCCACCCCTTAGACTGCTACTGCCACAAATGCAGGACCCTTGTCTGACTCTATGTTCAGTGCAGGCCCATGGCAGGGGATGATTTTTTGTAGCAGTTTCCGTGTCACTTCTTGGGCTTTTTCTGTCCAACAAGGGAACGTCTCTACCCAGTTGGAGTAAGTACAGACCATGACCAAGGGGCAATGAAGTCTTTTACATTTGGGCAGTTCTGTGAAGTTGACTCGGATATCTTTAAAAGGCACTGGCCCTCTCCTTTGGACTCCCTCTGGGACACCTGATGTTATCTTTGGATTATGTTGAGCATAAGTCATACACGGACAGTTTGGTCAGGGATGTCAATTGGGGGATGTAGAAGTAACGGTCGAACAGAGCCTCTAATTTTTTTTCCTGGGTGGGTGGTCTTACGTGTAGCTTGTACTGATCGAGGCCCCACATGTAAGGTACCACAAATTGGCCATCTGGAAGCTGGCACCATCTGTCTTTTTCCTTCTTTTTTGGGGGGGGGGTACTGGGGATCGAACTTGGGACCTTGTGCTTGCAAGGCAGATGCCGGAACCACTGAGCTAAATCCCTGGCCATCTGTCTTTTTTCTTAATTTCCCCCTCTTGAGATATCTATTGGATCTCCTCTGAGGTGTGCGCTGGTTTCTCGTTGTTTCCCCCCAGGGTACCGAGGGAAAAAGCATGGCATCTGGCCATAAACTTGTGGCCTTGGCCTCTTGGTCTGCCCTGTCATTGTCCAGCTGTTCCTTGAACCCTTCTTTTTGATGTCCTCAGTAGTGGATTACTGTAACTTTCTTAGGAGCCCAGACTGCTTATAGGAGTCACAGTATGTCCTGTGAATATTTTTTTTTTTTCTGTTGTAAGTAACTCTTTCTTGGTGGGCCCCATGTACATGTAGAGTTAGAATGTGAACGTTGGGCCGGGGATTTAGCTCAGTGGTTTCGCCGCCTGCCTCGCAAGCGCAAGGTCCAGAGTTTGATCCCTGGTACCAAATAAACCCCAAAAACCACACACAGGAATGTGAACATGGAGTCTGGGTAGACATTTAGTTTCTTTCCTTTTCCTAACTCTAATGCATGAGTTAGGGCAATAAGCTCAGCCCTCTGAGCTGAAGTCCCTTGGGGTAGTGATCGGGACTCTACAATCCCTTCTAGGGCTGCGTAGCCAGCCCTCTGTTTCCCAGTCTCATCTATGTGGCTACTCCTGTCCACAAAGA